CCACGAAAATGACGAAAGTAAGGTTACAGCCGCGTTCCTTACAGAATTCGTTATCAAATTCTCATTTTCAACCAACATTTAATGCAAAAAAAATTGTAAACCACTTGAAATTCAGAAAGCTGTAACATATAGATGGTGGCTGAATGTCGGAAATCATTTATTGAGAAAACAACTATTTCAGTTACAACACTGAACCATTCTACAGCATGCATCAGGATATTTGAAAGCATGATTAAACTGTTTCTCAAAATTGTGACTTTCAAACAATACCAATTTTAGGGTAGTATTCCCTCTTAACTCAATGAAAGGAGTTGTATCCTTAAACTCTTCTTTTATTTTAATTTATCCCTTTCTAATTTTGAACCGCAAAAAAAAAAAAAAAAAAAAAAAAAAACGGCTATCCTTTTTACTGTTATGTAATTCTATGCAGACGATTCATTTCACAGTACCATTCCTCAGAGCGTGGATTTGGAGGACTGAGATGCTCCTCTGTCGTATCTTTCCGGCCTTCTTAATACCTTCGCCGATTCCAGCCACGTGTGAGGTGTTACAAATCACGCTCACATTCTCCAGTGCTAAGGAATGGATCCGCTAGCGCAGAAAAGTTTTCCAATCCTAAATGCCTCTTTTTTAATATTTGCGCTCTAAATAATCGATTCTGATGCATTCTACACCTTAGGTTTTCTCATAAAATAAAAATTTTAAATATTGGCTCTCGCAAGAGCGTTTAGTTGTCGTTTGTTTTGCTTCTTCGCCATACGTTGAAGGGGACTTTTTTTTTGTGAGGTCAAGCGTGAGTGGACGTTTGAACCTTGCGACAGAAGAAGAGAAGCCACCCCGTACAAAAATGTCCTCTGGGCGGCTATAGAAAATTCTTTGTATGATCGGCTTTAGCTATTTGGCCTAATTAGATAAAAAAAAGTGTCTTGCTCTCTTTAGCATTTATGGTCGCCTTTATGGGCCTCTTTAGCTTTGTCTATGGCCCTATCGCTGTCCAGCCATAGCGCTCTTTAGCTTGTCTAATGGTTGGCTAAAGACTCCCCTATGCCGTATCCTATGGCTCTCTTTAGCCAGCAAACTCTAAAAAAAAAATTTCCTTCAAGTTCCGCGACTTGTGAACGCTACATGGTAGATATACACATCTCTGAAAACACAGAATACACAGAACACATGGAAAACACTACCACACACACAACACCAACAACGCAGGGACACCGGAGCGAACATACGCTATGTTCGCACTAGCTGTATATGTGGCAGTCTAATTTCTGAATCCGACTTTGCCGGTGACCCATCATTTGTCGCAAAAACACGGAGAGGCGGAGCAAATATTACTCGTACTTAATATATTATTTGAATTGTCTCTTGAAGTAGCCTCCATCTCTTAATTCAACACCCTGAAAAAAGCAAATGTAGATCATTGGGCTAATTAACTACAATTTATGAATTATCTTTTTAATAAGTTTGATGAATCACGTTGACATTGCCGTGATGACATGCAGTACACTAGGGCTGAAGATTGGAATCAAGCTATTGCTTGATTGCAGTGTTCGGCGCAAGTGTAATTTATTTTCACTTTTGGTTGGTAATAATTAATTTTAATTGTTGCACAAGTATTTTAATGGATATTTCAAACAAACAATATTACTGGTTTTCACGACTCGTTGCAACAGCATAGATTATGGTTTGTCACCGGCATTACAGAAATTTAGTATTGATTTAATTTTCTAACTTGGATTGTTTTTACTAAGAAGTATCGGTAGTGATTTTCTATTGGCGTGGAAAAAAAATTTATTGGTTCTTTGTCGTTAGACTCGGGGCCATAAATTTTTCTATACACGGGTAAAGACAATTTATTGGTTTCCAGTCTTTAAACCCGGGCCAAAGAATTTTCTATAGGCGGGTCAAGAACATTTATTGGTTCGCTGTCTTTAGACATGGGGCCATATAATTTTTTATAGGCGTCTAAGGAAATTTGATTGGTTCCCTGTCTTTAGACTCAGGGCCATCAAATTTCCTATAGACAATTAACGACAATTTAATGGCTCCCAGTCTTTAGACGTGTAGCCATAGACTTTTCTACAGGCGGGTAAAGAAAATGCATTGGATCCTAGTCTTTAGACACAGCGCCATAGATTTTTCTATTACTGGCTGTAGCTGTCTTTATGGATTTCTATGGCCGACCATAGAGGGCAGTAGGGGGTAATAGCCTGCCATATAATTTTCCATAAACGACCATAGACCATGTTTGTATGGGACTCCTCCTCGAGGACATCTAAGAAAGTACCGCTAAGCTGTGGGTTGAAAAGGAAGCCGGAGTCTCTCCCTTCTCTGCCATTTGTCTGGTGCGCGCCCTGAAGCCACGACACTAAAACCGCTCTATGGCGCTGCCGTGCGAAGTAGTACAACTAAAGATGGCTGTTTTCTTTCCATACTAATAATGCAGTGCAACTGTACCAAGATAGCATAGAAAGAAGTAATTGATTTAGGGCAAATAAGTAGGGTACCCAGTTGATTCATGCGATGTGCTCCCTAAGCTCATCGTAACACCGTGTTTTCGAATACACCGAATTACTTACTACCTTTCTCAACGTCGCCACCATACAGCCTGGATTGCATGTAACTTTGAGAAGCCATAGGCATTCCCACAACACCTGAAATATAGTATTTAGACACCATTAGGTACCCTCCGGTTCGGATGCTATTCTAGATTTGGTATCACGAGGGATTTTTTGGTGAGCTAACACAATACCGTACTAACGATTCCAGTGTAAAGGTTGGAAGAAGTAGTGCAGGTTTGGAAAAGAAAGGTTTAGGCTGCGCTTTTGATTTGTCGTGATGTCGTTCTTGCTTGAGCCCATTATGATTGATCATCACCATTTTCAATTCGAACAGATTATTTACTTACTTCCACAACGTCACCCCGACGAAACCAGAATTATTCATAGTGCCATGTTAACAAAACAGGATGCTTTCTCACGTGACTCCAAAGTTAGTCCTAGGATACCGTAGGTACACAGCAGTTCGGGTGCTATTCTGAACCCATTGCCATGCAAAGTGTTGCAAGCGTGCCAAGGGTGAAGAGAGTTGACCGACAGTAAGACACCTGCGCGGAGAGCTCCCCTGGCCGCACAGCGCAACTCTCAAATAAAATAAACACACAACTAGCTGCAGGATACTCCGAGACGCTTTGAGCAGAACTCGCCACTTGCGAAAGCTTCGAAAACGAGAAGAAAAAAAAGAAAAAGAAACGGAACAATAGAAGAACATGGCAACGCTGGCACATGACCACCTGCCTGGAAGGTTCATACTGTAGTTGGCGTCAACTGCATTCCTCATAATGCAAACTTCTTTATATGGCGATTTAATCGGTAGATAAAAACACAACAGCAATGCTTGTGTTCCTTTTCGGTCGTTGTTTTTTTTAGAGTTTATCTTTCGTTGTTTTTATTGTCTCATTGCCGCATGTTCGCTCTTCTTCATTCAATGATTGTTGTTAAAATTCTTTTATTTGATCATGTGTAACATTAATCATCCTGCATAGGCAGATGGTGCCCTTGTCGTATTGAATGTGCTCGAACATTGGATATCATGTATAAATGTTCCTATCTGGGCTCAAATGCTCCTAGTTTTCGCTGACCTCGAGACGTACCCAGTTTTGAGACTTTGCGGTGCGTTTAAAAAAACGACAACAACAACGAATATTGAATAGAGCTCAATATTAACAAATGTAAAATAATTCGGAGAACACATAAAGCCAACTTCAATTTTGCTTATAGCATTATTAACACACCTAGAGCTTGCAAACTTATGCAAGCATCTGGGCGTGATTTTAAGTGCTGACCTTTCATGGAAAGTTCCTATTAACTATGCGAGTAACAACACCAATCGAATGCTTGGTTACCTCAAATATAACTTTTATCCCGCCCCATCATCATCAAAAATATTCTTTTCTAAAACACTAGTTCTGCGCAAGCTAGAGTACGCAGCTTCTCTCTGGGATCCCCCTACCCTCTACCTTAATTGATTCACCTGAATATATTCAGATCAGAGCTACACGCTTCATAATGGCCAATTATAACCGCACCGCAAGCGCAACATCATTGAAAGATAGTTTGTTACTCCCAAACCTCGCACACCGACGCACAGTCTCTCGTATTTGTCTTTTTCATAAAATGTATTACCATATTCCTCAGCTTAAATCGCAACAAATCATCCCCACTACTTTGTTTCAGCACGCCTTGATCATCGTCACAAAGTCGGTGTTCCATTTTGGACTAATTTTTATTATGACTCTTTTATTGCAATAACTTCCAAGGTCTAGAATTGCTTCCCAGGATTGCTCACACCAATTAATGACGCCCCACTTTTTTGCACATCCATTGCCAATTTCATGTTCCCTGTTCTTTGAATCGTGTATATTTTGTTATATTTGTAGTATTATCCCTATTGTTCCCACCCCACTGCAATGCCTTGCGCCCCGGAGGGTAAAATAAATAAATAAACGAACAAATAAATTTATGCTCAAAAGCTAGTTTGTAATTTTGTTGTTATTCGGCTCACAATTTTAATAAAAAAAAAAACGAATGCCGACTACATGAATACACTTCTCCGTGTTCAAGAAGATTAGAGTGGATTGAAGCAGATGACACGAAGCACGAAGAGCGCAGCAGATACTTAGCCGTTTACTACAGCCCTTGTGTGTTTGACAGTTAAAATAAACCTGACCTACATACCTCTATTGCGTGTGAAGTAGCCCCCTACTGCTGGCATCCCGATATGGCCATGTCGCGCACTAATTGGCACTCGCTTATCAAAGTGGTGAGCTCCCTTGGTGAAAACGTGTGTCTCTCGCGCATAAGTCTTTTGCTCGTTCTTGCATCACCAAGATAATGCACTTGTCATGGCCATTTTAGTGGCCCCGCTAAGATGCTGAAGGCGCGCTAAGAATTCCATATACGCTTGGCTTGTCTGTAAACGATTGATCGAATACAACAGAATGAAGACGGGAAACTCTATTTGTAATTCCGATATTCGAATCGTATCAACACCGTGCTTGGGAACCTCTGCTTGGCGCTTGGAGAGTAATGCAGTCTTCAGAGTACAAGCATGTCTCCAGAGGCCTGTTCCTGGAGCTGGCCGTCCTCCCTCTGCGCTCCAGATGATGTCTTGGACCGGAGCAGACGCTCTAGATGCTTCCACATGAGCGCCTGGTTGCGGAGTGCGTCTTGGCCCTCGCGAACTTGCTTCTGACGCTCGCGGAGCGCCTTGCCCTCTTTTTCCTGCTCCGAGATCTCCTGGTTCAGACGATCTCTGGAAAGTGCATCGTGGTGTGCGTGTGAGCTCTGCATTAGGACTTAGAGACCTGGTCCTGTCTCTATAAGCAGCAAAGCCATCCAGCGGCAAAAACGTAGTGTTGAGAATTGGGGGTTAATCTCTGCACAAGCCGCTATCCACCACTTTATGGTCCAAGACTAGAGTCGCCTATACTTGTAAAGTATTTACTGTTAGTTCCACATGTCGACGGTCAGTCAACCATAGCTAAAGATTCGGGACGCAGTACAATCGAACAGCCTCGTTGATATTTACTTCCTCGCACAGCTGGCTATGCCTTGAAGGTCCCAAAATCATGCCTATTTGCGAAGGTCTACGCAATAAACTAATCGACCTGGATACATAATTCGCCAAGTCGAGCTGAGTCTGGATGTACCTAAAGATAAAACACAAAGAAAACGTAAGTAAACAATGTCTCGCACATAGTTTTACTGGCTTATGTTAAGGCCGGAGTGAACAAAGCGAAAATACGAGGGCACTTACTCTAGCACGTAATGTATGCTAAAGCTTCCGCAGCTTGCTGCTCGCCTTTAGGTCTCTGTCATTGTGACGTCGGTGTCGTTTCTTCATCGACCTCCCGAGCACAATTCTGAGGATTTTCGCGCCATTTTCGCTTCTGCACTCGATTCCGCTACCTGTCCTCATGCGCACTTGGTCGTAGGGTGAGCCTCCTCTGCGCGTCCAAACTGATAGTCGCGTTATTCGGGACGGCAACGAACTTCCCGAGGCCTAGCCATACGGCGTGCAAGTTCGTTCCGCTCGGACGGTCGTGTGTATGCGGCGGCAATACCACCTAGAAGACGAGGCCTGCGCATGACGTCATCGTTAGTGGACCCCCGATCCGCCCCCAAGCGGCAGTAAAATCGCCAGAACTAGGCGAGAGTCGATGCAAAGTAGCAGATGCGTCTTGTTTATCATGACGTCGCCGCCTGCTAACTTAGTGCTTTTTGTGAGACGTTTCGATACTCCCTGGCGGCGACGCTCACGCCGGCTACTGCGCGCTGCATGGATCCACTGGAAGTGACAGTGAGGGAGGAAAGGGGGGGGGGGGGGGGGGGGGGGGGGGGCTAAAGGTTTCGTTTTTTAGGTGCTATTGCTACAGCTATGCTTCGAGAAACTGAGGGAGAGAAGGATACGAGAGCGCACGGGGTCATCACAACGCCCAACTCTGATGCAAATGATTAGTGGGAAGACCTAAAGCTATAATTGCCTTTGTCTCCACTGCAGTCGCCGAACGCGTTAGAAGGCGGAACGCCGGCGTCCAGCGTTTGGCTTTCGCATTCGAACGCGTTCGACGAGTGCAGTTCAGACAAAGTCTTTTTTTTTTTTTTTTGTCTCCGCTGCGCTCGTCGAACCCGTTCGAATGCGAGGGCCAAACGCCGGACGCCGGCGTTCCGCCTTCTAACGTGTTCGACAAGTACAGTGGACGCAAAGACAGCTCTAAAGTTTCTCACTTTCCCTCAGTTTTTTGTGCATACAAGGTAATGTTGACGACGCGTCTCTTTCGAACGACCGGCCTCCAACACGTGCTCATCGGTTCTTGCTGTACTTAGGCGGCGCTTGCATGATTGAGGCTCACGATACTCCGAAGTGTTATCGAAGGTAGAGATAAATAAAATGTATACCACGTTTTTTACAAACTCAACGGACGTAGCATGCGCACCTTGGGGCCTCAGGCGCGGTGGCTGGGAGCGATCATCTGATTGATGACGTCACCGGGGGTTATCTCGAAGGTCACTCACGCAATATCCCGGGAAGGTGCCCAATAACAGCCGTGGATGTAAACACTATCGTTACTCATGAGTATCTATAGTTTCTGCCAATGCATGCCTGTGTTAAGCTGGGAAATGTATGCTGAAAATCGCACAAACCAAGCAGGTGTTTCTACGCGTGTACTAATCTGGATAAGTACTCTACACTCTAAGAAATCTCGTGCGTCTACTTCCCTGCAAAGCACCTTGTGAGTGCCAATCGTTGCAATCTACAGAGGGAGTTCGGCGAATATGAGAAGGTCGAAATTGCGATTATACAGGGTGTCACAAAAGAAAATTTACACGGTCTTTTTTACCGTAAAAATAAACTAGGCATCGCCGAACGCTCATTCTCCGCCCAAAGATAGAGCTAGAGGTCACAACCAGATGCCAAAGTTTTAGCCCGATCCGATAATTCAATCAAAAGTTAAAAGTGATTTTCTGAAAATTTCAATGGGAAAATGGAGCCCATTTTTGCCCGTTTGCGGTTTCTGGTGCCATAGAGCCCCATGTGTTCGAAAACTCCGTCGGGCACCATTTTCTCATTGAGGTTTTCAGAAAATCACTCCTCATTTTTGAATAAGGTATCGGATCGGACTGAAACTCTGGCATCTGGTTATGACCTCTAGCGCTACCTTTGAACGGAGAATGAGCGTTCGGCGATTCCTAGTTTATTTTTGCGGTAAAAAAGACCGTGTAAATTTTCTTTTGTGACACCCTGTATAAGGGTTGTGCAAATAGTTGCTCGAAATAAAGAGCACTGCGTCGCTCTTAGCTTTCTCGATCAAAGAGAAGGCAATGATGTACTTACTCTCTTTACACTGTTCAAAACAGCAATGACACTGCGTTATGTTCTTTAAAGCGATATTCTCACACTTCTAGTTTAGAGCTCACCGTGCTTTAGACCTGAAAAATACACTGCGCAGGGATATAAGTACGTCAAGCATCATTATCAGTGTCACCGTGCTTGTTTTTGTTTTATGTTTAGATTCGTCATCCGCCTAGCTTCCTCTGTATATTTCGTTTCCCTTTCGTCCGGGAGCAGCCGAAGTTACCTCAAGATGAGGCCAATAAAGCATCGTTAAAATCGCAACGTCACAGCGGCTGATGTCTCTATGTAAGTGTACTTTCGTCGACTGAACAAATCAAGTTCACTGAGCGTTCCATGACCTTGCGCTCTTAGTATTTCTGTCCATGTTTTTGCCTCTGCTAGCCTTTGATAGCGCTCGGGCATATCGTGAAACGAAGTACGTAGATTGCGGGAATTGACTCCTTCAAGTGCTTTGCACAAAAGTGGACACACTAGGTGTCTAAAGGGGTATCCACACAGGCGAGAAATCAATCCCTTTGCTCCCCGGAATGTGTATCACGTGATAACAGCGTCATGGTTTAGCGCGTAGCCGCGCTCACGTACACATTCCAGGGGTATGGGGGAGCTTTTGTTCGGGCTGCACAAACGCTCCCAGACTTGGCGTGGGATCTCTGCAATGGGCGGTGTTTTATACGCGTGTCTGGTAATTTTACAGATTTCGCTCAACTCTATGACGGCGGTGGCATCGCGATCGCCCATCTTGTTGAGGCTTGTGCGGACGTGCATGTCGTCAGAGAAACCCGAAGGTGTCTTTGATATTCATGAATTCCGTCCTCAAGCCGCTCCTCATACAACCGTTTTTTTTTTTTTTTTTTTTTTTTAGTCCACGTCTTTTGTGTTGTATCCACCCATTCAAGAAGCATCTTTTTTTACTGCGATAGCAGTTACTGGGACAGTTCGCGGGTTTCGCACCATCTGCCGCGCTTCATATAGACACGAGCTATTTTCGGCATTCCGCCAAAAGATTGCCCATTAACCTCACACCGCTGAACACGGCTCTGATATCAATCCGCGTATCACGTCACCTGTTACCTGGCGTCAGCTGACACTATGACGTTACACTGACACGTCAAGTCACGTTGCGGATTGACGCCACGCGATTCAATGACGTCAAGTGACACCGTCAGTCACGTGATGGTACGACGTCAGGTGAAACTATGACGTCATGTGACATGCAAAAGTCACGGAACGATAAGTCATCCCGTGACACCATGACGGCACATAGGAATATAAACAGGAGACTGCTGATAATGGAAACCATAAAAGCAAAGCGTTTTCGCTAATTATGCCAGAAAGGTAAGCTAGGGTGGTGTTAAGCCGGCTAAACCACGGGCTCCTCAAATTAGATGGAGCCTCACGAGTGAAACTAGGGGGAGTGCGCGATTTCGGAAGTGTTCTTCAGCTGCCACAAAGCGGTATTAGTTCATGACCAATGACATGGCATAAGGCGTTCAGACAGCCACACTAACGACAAGGAGGAAACAGTCTATGCATACACTTAAAGTTTTGTCGTTCCCTGGATTTTAATCTTGGGCGAGCGGTTTTCGAAGTGTTCTTCAATTACCACGTGGCAGTCCTAGTTTGTGTCCAATGAAATTGTTTAAGAGGTTTACGAATTGCTCTCTACTTAATACACCCTCGTTGGTTCCGAAACGCTATGGAGTATTCGTCCGGTGTATTCCTCGGTTTAATATGAAACGCCGAAACTGAATCTTATATCGCGAAGCTCTCAACTTTACCGTTTACGTCCATCTGCTCCGAAATGACAACTTAGCGGCTCCGACGTCACACTTCAGCTGTCGCAGTATTTCACCTTACGGGTAGCGCAACTGTTTACCAATTTCGTTCAACAGGAAGCAGTTCTTTGTCTTCTGCATCTAACAGCGCTGTTGTCATAATCGCGTATTGCCGTTTTATGTACGTCTCCATTTCTCTAGCCTCGGCAGCGCACTGAGGACTGTTGTCGAGAGTGCGACCGCTATATACGTCTGATAACACTGACATTCCTCTCGGCTCACTGCACGGTGATAGTTAGGAGATAAAATTCGCTTAGAAGGGAGGAAGGAATGATGTGTTTGTCTTTCTAGACTTAGGCTAGGTGGCGCAAGCTACCGCCTGTAACAAAAGGTTTAGCCATTAAAGGGGTACGGAAACCGAATTCTAGCGCTCATTTTTTAGCTTTAATGTGTTGCATGTTGCAGAATAACCTCAAAAATAACAGTCTTTCGTTGAAAGCACAAGAAAACTATTTTTAAAGCTAATTAAACGATCTTTGAATGTGCACCTGGCGGATGCATGTGGAGCCTATCTGAGAGATAATCTAGAAACGTTGGGGAACTTGCTACGGAGTCATGACGTGGAAAGCTCCGTCGGTGCAGCGCCGTTCTTTGGAATTCAACATTTTCCTTCATAGCTTTCCTCAACTCATAAATCACGCATTGTACCAAACCGTCGTTTGTGCACCCGGAAACAGCCATTCCCCCTTTAGAAGACTAGCCGGTCACTGAAAATTTTGACAAAAGTTGCTTTCCTCGTCCCGTTTAACCCTAAGCTGACAGTGCTGTGGAAGCTACGTGCTCTTTGGGCCAGCCTTATGCTCGTCACCCCACGGGTACTTCAAACGGGTCGGTTGTAACGCGTTGACGCTATTGACACCACCACAAAGCTGACAACGCCACCAAGGGCACAGCTAATAACCACGCCAGCCTTTTTACGTCACGAATGCGGGGAATCTCATTATTCTGTTTTTGTTGGCGCCGGATATCCCATGACGCATCGCGCTCTCCATTCGCTTCTCTTCGAGTGCTTGCTCGAGTGCACCTTTTCGAACGAAAAATATAGCCAGTCGTTCAAAATACAAAAGAGTGATTATCATTTACGGTTATTATTCGTCGTGCTTGACTTATTTCCGAGCGAAATTTGAATATTTCCACTTTTTTCTTTCTGTACCCCTTTAACATCCATTCGTCCATCCGCCCATTCTTGCCCCGCCGTTCGTCTAAGTGCTTGAGACGGGGAACGAGTCCCGCCGGATCCGCCGATCACTGACGACGTCACGCCTATTCCTCTAAATGTATTCCTCGTGTGAAGATTCTTTTAGAGCCTATAGCTTTCCCGTTTATTACGAAACTTACCTGAGAGATAACTTCTTGGCGCTCCCATCAGCCTGTAAAATACCCGGCTCTAGAGCTCCGTTTGCCTCGAGGAACTTGAGTTGTGCTTCGTGGATTTGGAGGCTCAGTTGTAGAAAGTGAGACTTGGATTCCTGGGCGTTGAGTTCGTTGCGTAGTGATGTCACTTCCTGGAATCAGGACATTACTGCTGTATATGATGCTCTAAAGAATTTTACTTTTTATTTTTTTTTATTTTTTTTTGCTTCGTATAAAATGCAATTTTAATATAGATGCAGAACTATAAACGCAGTGGTTCTCACAAGAGGTATACACACGTATAAATGCCGAAAATGTAAGTTGTTTGCACCCAATCAATGTAAACATAACATTTGTTTTATTTTATCTTACAAACAAAAACAGAGCGTGGTTGTTGAGCAAATGAAAACTCCAAGTGGCCATAGGTAAATCAGCGATCACAAGTTTATTTCCGTTTGCAGCCTGTAATCTCAGTTTTAATTTAATTCTGCTAAATTATCAGTTCAACTTCAATTGAATTCACGTGAAGTTTTTGATAAGCTTTACATAAGCTCAGATTAGATTTATGAGCTGAGCTGAATATGGGGCACGACTTAAAAAAAATATTAACCAAGACGCTCCTCAATACGAGATTCTGAAATGATTGAAGCACAGATAAAAAAGCCTGGGTGTGCACATATCACCAATGATTTATCCTGGGTGTTTATTCCGAAATTTAAGTAAAACACAATAAATCATTCTTATCAATCTTACAAAATTGAAGCATCCGTTAAAATGTGCCATAAGAAATTGTTCGAGCGTATACCTTTGCGAAATAAAATAGTTTCAGATGCAAATAAGGTACACATATTGTAGAGAGCTCTCAGTTGTGTGTTCTGTGACGTTGTATATTGATGTGGTCATGAGATCTTTTCGTTTCCTTTTATTTTAATGCCATCCTGAACGGTGTGCGAGACGTACCTGCTCCAGTCTGGAAAGGTTGCTTTCCAAGCCTGCGGCGCAAGAATCGTAGGTGGATTTCTTTTTTTCATATTCTATGGTCAAGTCCTGTAATATCAAGTAAAGTATATAATCTACCCGTCCCTGAAGTTACTTAGATTGTCACCATCATAATGCTCTTAAGTTCTGAAGGAAAACTAAAGTTGTTTCAGAATTCTTAGAAAGAATATTAGCTTGAATGTTCACGCGTTGAAATAATGTAGACAGTTTCCTTCTTTTTTTATGTTTACAGTAGAAACGACATAATCGTAAACTGAAGTTCCGCGCAGTCTTCGTCTATGCTGCCTACCGATCGCAGAAGAGAAAGAGAGGGGGAAAAAAAGACTATGTAAAGTGACGTCATCAACGGTATCGAATTATTCTTTCTCGCCTTCCAGCTAACTCAGAGATTCCAACAGTCACGTCACCATAGATTTGACCGACCTCTAGCGGCAAAAAGGTTCACCATAGGTTCTACGGCAACCGCTGCACATTTGTTTCCGAAATAAAAACCAGTTCATGCTGTATCATTTTTGACTTCCGCCCAATGTCCCAATTCAGTAAATAAATATAAACAAAGTTCGCTCCCAGCTCCTATAGACCAAAACGCTGTTCATAAACAAGCCATCCTTTGCCCACACCAAGTGCACGCACGGCGCGTGCGCAGAAACCGGATTCGGGTAAGAAGAACCGTCTGCGCAGGCGCAGAACCATCAGCAGTTCCACCGCAGCGGAGTGACGTCAGAGAGTTGATTTAGTGCATAGTCACGGAGAAGAGAGCTGAGAAACGCCAGGACGGGGCTTATAATGAACCTACTTCTTGTTTCGTGATTTGTTCGTCGGCGTTCTTGTGGGCTGACGTCCCCATATCGTGGGCTGTGGAACGATTATATTAATCAGCACCTAGGGACTTAACACGGCCTGCATCTCTTATACTGTCCGTGACTATAGCTGGTTTCTTTATTATTGAATACAATTTTTTTTATATTATTATAAGAAACGCGTTCCATCACCTTTCTTTCGACAAGGATTCTGTGCATCCAGTACCCCGAAACGCGGACGTACCGCCTACGAGGATGAGTTTCGTAAATACCGACCTGACAGCTCTTTCGCAGCGGTCTCAGATCCTTAATGATGGGAGCAAGGCGACCTTTCTTATCCGTGATTCGGCTGTTGAGGCTGGTCACCATTGCGGCCATATCTTCCAAGGTGGCGTTCTTGCGGTCATCCAGACTGGCCTTCTGGCCAGACGCACTTTGAAGCGCACCGTGTAGTGCATGGTAACCACGGACACCTTTTTGATCTTCTAGAACTTCCTGAAAGGTTCGTGGTGATAGGACATGTCCAGCTTAATCGGACTTAGCAGGTGTGCGCTTTTTTAAATGAACGGACGTCCATTGTGATATTAGTCGCCTCTCCCTCTAGGCATGACAGTCAAAAGGATGTTTAGTGAATAGTTGGCTCATTTGTGACGTCGACTCCCCACCAACACAAATTCGTTCTTGACGACCGGCGTCAAGCTAAAATCACTGCTAAAGGTTAATGAGGTTTTCAGCAGCGTGTTTTCGTATTGTGTGAGACTGCTGTTCAGGTTATGTTATAATCACATTTAATCAGTAGACATACAATAAAGATACGAAAGAGGTTTGCGTAAAATGTATGTTTTAGGACGTAATTTCCGTGTGCAATTTTGTCCACGTCGATACATTTCAAAGCGTGGTTGAGATGGTTTGAGGTGAGCAGGTAGTGGCTATTTTTAAAACAAGCTGTAGTGCAGAGGTTATAATTCAAAAGATGCAATGGTTCACAACAAGGTTACCATGATTTCATGGTGCGTGCCAACTGAGCACTCCAATTTTTATCACTTACCAATTCCCTGGTGAGTTCTCTTTGCTTCTGCTGGAGAATTTCCGCTGTTCTGGCGAGCACTCCTGTTTCGGCCCTGAGTTCTGCAAGTTCCTGTCTTTTTTCTTTGTACGTGGTGCTCTTGCCGCGAAGAGTACCCACATACTTCTTGAACTAAAAGCAGAATAAATCAGAATAACGATCTGTTTACCGTTTTCCTTCAACGCGTAAAAAGCGTAACGATTAAAACAAGATCAGGTTTTGATAGATATAAAGGAAGTTCCCGAGAAACCAGAACCGTGTTTTTCTGCCAGGGTGAATAAACTTTTCATCGCAGAAAGCTCAAACTTCCTCAAACTTTGTGAGAACGTGACGAGAGTTTGAGAGCATGAGGTTATTTGGATAAAAAGATAAGTGAGAAACATAAAATTTCTCTATGGGCCGACGTCAACTTAAGCCTAATATTGTCTATACAAAACTCGATATTGCGGACGCTTATAGACTTAATAGCGGTAAAAAAAAAAACTTGTCAGCAAGAAATAGGATATTACTTTCCTTCTCGCTGACAAAGTTTTTTTCACAGAAATAGATGATACACGCGAGCACAATGTCATTCCTTGTTTTGACAATGTTCGGCTTAGGAGGACGTGGGCTAATAGAAAAATGTTGCTTATTTCAATTATCTTTGGTTCTCGGTAGCTCCATGCCGACAAACTTTCGAATTTTCTCCCAAACTCTAACGTCACACTCTCACGGAGTTTGAGCTTTGTGCGAGGCATAGTTTATTTGCCCGGTCCGAAAAACACGGTTCTCTTTTCTCAAAAAATTCCTGTAAGGTTTTCTGCCCTCCAGAAAAATTACATCAGTCTACTTCTATTTGAAGTTTAGCCTTGAGATCATTATCTAGAAATGTTGACATTCGTTCAATACTTTCCTGAATGACTTTTAGCATAGTTCCTTCTAGTAGCATTTTTGTTAACACTAATATTTGTACCCCTGTGTACCATATATATCCTGCATTAAGAAGAATTACCTAAGCCTTGGGCGAAAACTCCGGAAATATCAACCGTGGGAGAGAAAGAAAATCAGTGACAGGAGGACAAATCTAAAATATTATTAGCAAACCATTCTTATATGCCTCCTACCCTCAAGGTCGCCACCCTTTCCAAATGAAAGATCGAAACATTCACTCAGTTCAAATCTAAGACGCTTCGGCCCTGCCATTTGCCCCCCTTTCTGAACAAACGCAGTTTGCACGCGTCGTCCTGCACCCTCATATACATGCCTACAAGTACAAACCGGTATGCCGTCCGCGAAACAGATGCTTTACTAACGACCGTTTCGACACTTCCTCCTTCAAAAAATGAAAAACACGAGAAACGTGGGGTAACGGTACACTCCAGTGGTCACAAACAGAAGTCGTGCAAACGAACACAATGGCATGAAGAGAAAGGTAAGAGAAACAGTTTGGATAAAGACAATAGGTGATTGTTTAAGCCGAGCATCTTTGCAGTTCAGTAACGCTTCCAAGGCCTTCTACAAAGACGTGTGTGTGTGTATGTGTGTGTGCGTGTGTGTGTCCGTTTGCGTGTGTGTGTGTGTGTGTGTGTGTGTGTGTGTGTGTGTGTGTGTGTGTGTGTGTGCGTGTGTTTTAACAGGAGAGTGTCGAAATGAAGGTCAATGATGCATCTGTTTCGCGGAGGGTGTCCAGGTAGAGTGGCCTATAGTATAGGGTAGTGGGCTTACCGCACCCGCTTGCTGAGGCGGTTCGTGTCTAAATTGAAAGATAGCGCTCCAGTCAACTCCTCCTGAAGCTCTCCCGCGTTTCTGCGATCGCGTGCGTATCAGCGCGTGTGTGCGTCGGTGTTTTCTTCGTCAGATAGCTGGGAAAATTCGGAAGAATCGTAGGAACTGCGTCGGCCGAAAACACTGGTTTCCCATGCTGAACGCGTACCTCTTCACCGTTGATGACGTGCACGTAATCTCTAATTACAAACTGTGGTTCAAAAAGTAATTCGCACACATCAGAGGTCTCATCCAACGTCTTTTCCGCTCGATGCATGTTCTTACACCATAGTTTTCGCCGCTCCTTGTCCTTCGGTACAACGAGGTACAACGACCAAAAACACCTTTGGAGCGTCCTTCGCGTGAGCATATCATGTTCTTCAGTCAGGCGCAAAACTCTAGGTTCGAAGTCGATTAGGTATTCTTGCATTTGAGTCAAAGAACAAAAACCTGCTAGACAACAATAATCACAGCTACCACACGGCAAAGAAACTCAGACTAGCACGCGCGAACTGCACCCAGACGCTCAACGCCAACACCTAAACCTAACGCTAATAGACCCTTTTCAAAAGTCAGAGTCCTCTTGTGGCAGTATAAAAAGCTCCATTATTGCCGCTCTAATGGCGGTGATAGGAGATCATGCGCGGCTAAATCAAACACCCTCGATTCCGTGCATCGAAGGTGACGTGAAAGGACCAACATCTTTTCCTTTTTCTGCTCTATGCTTTCGAAGACGTTCGATTTTTCTGGTGTGGAGAAACAGTGTAGTTCCGCCATTAGAGCGTCGGGTCTGGCTCTGCACAAGGTGGGTAGACTGACTTTCGTAAAGGGTCTATTCACGCGGCCGGACGTAGGCATGCAGGATGCTTCAGGAGAAGTCAAGAGCAGCGCCCCGTCGGCCTCCTACATAGACCGTTTCACCTCGAAGGATGCGCGAGAGAGGGCGGTGAGCTCACTATCCCATTCTAGGTCACTGTAGCACAGGTTTGACTTCGTAAGTATCCATATAAGGCTGTAGGGCGACGTGGGCTAACTGCATTTGTTCAGAAAAGGAGAGGCAAATGGCAGGGCCGAAGTGTTCTGCGTTTGAGCTGAGTGAATGTTTTTACCTTTTGCGTGGAAAGGGTGGCGAGCTTGAGAGTAGGTTATATATAAGAGAGATTTACTGAATAAACGTTTAGCTGAGTTTGAGGCTTTGCCCTCCTGTCACATATTTCTTTTTCTTCCGGGTTCGATCTTTCTAGTTTTCTCACCCCGGTGTTGGGACCCGGGTATAATCATTAAAAGGTCAAAGATACAGCAGCTCGCCTGTTCTATCACCGTTAACTGCCGTTCACACTCTTGCAACTGAGTATGACCGAGACAGACAAGACTGGTTTTTAAGCCACTTGCGATGGCGTACGACCGAATGCGCTGCTGCGGAGCGGGTATACGCCGCAACAAGATGCTTATAGCCGCTTCCCCTGGCAAATGCCGAGCGCTCCGCGCTAGCGGTCGTTGAGCCGTCGGCCTCCGTGAGCGATCGGTCACGTGATCCATCCGAGTGGCACGCGCGGCGGAGCAAATCAAGCGTAACGCTCCCAGCGCTACCGCTTCTAGAGCGTCTGTTCTTGCTTCTGAACAGTTGCGGTTCCCATTGCTATCTTGCTGAAAGCATGTAGTTCTGATAGGAACTTTATGCTTTGACAAAAAATGACTGTTTACTACTTGATTAACCGTGACCCCGACGTTAAAACACAATTTATTTTTCCTTACAGTTATATAAGCCCGATGAAGACAACTAGAAGTACTTGTGCGAGCCGTAGGATGCTATTAAAGGGACACTGACACCCCCCAAAAAATTTTTTTCATTTTTTGCCAGGGGCTTCATTATGGTGTCGGAGGACTACCCAATTAATATTTTGCAACAGAGTAGCGTATTTTTTTAATAAAACCGAAAGACGCAACTGCTCGAAACCGAAACCGAAACCCGACGGAGGTCGGAGAAGTGGAGAGAAGAGAGTGAGTGGCGGAAGTCACGTGACTACACCCGACCGTGCTTTTTTTTTTGTTTTTTTTTTTTGTTTTTTTCCTTTCCGTAGCAGACGACACGACATGCGGCGTGCGATGCGGCGTGCGAGAACTGCTCGCCGGGCGATTCTTTTGCAGTTATGTTTGTTACGCTCGTTGTTCTGTACTCCAAGGTGAGTTGTTTTGTACATTGAGGAGTCGGAGATGAGTAGCGAGTGCCCGTGGTGAATTTCCATGATCGGCTCCGAAAAGAATACACCCAAGATGTTGCGTGAAGAGCTGGCTCACATGTCCTGCGTCCGAAAAAAGGTGGCATTGTGCGACAGAGTTTCCGAAAGATCAACGGGATCGGGACCATTGGCTGGCTGCAATTCCTGTAGAACATATAAGGGCACCTCGGAAAGCGGACGCTACCTGATTTATATGCTCCTTGCATTTTGTGGAACGTGATTACATTGAGTTCGCAGGTGTCAAAAAGGAAATCACATACCATTTAATTCAGCGAAGTATCGTCCGCAACATTTGTTTGTTATTTTTGTTTGTTTCTTCAGTGATGATTGTAAAAAAAGAAAAAAGATACGTAAACATCGGGATATGTTTGAAAAAAAATAAAAAATAAGAAAGTTTCACGGGGGATCGAACCCGGTCCTACCGCGTGTGAACCGGACGTCTTTCCCACCGAGCTACTGGGCACCTCTTTTCTGGTGGATCTCTTTCCTTTGTAATAATTAAGCCGGTAAACTGTAAGTTGGAAAGTTTGCTGTCGATTTTTCTCTAGCAAATGCACTCCCGAGTCGAAGTCGGGAAGCACCACGCTTTGCGGACATTCGCACCTAGTAAAGAAATCTTACGCGTGCATATTCAACTCGAAGTAGACACGTCGTGCTTGAAGTTTGCGCGAGCGATGTCTTCAGCCACGAGAAGGGAGCGACGGCTCGGCGACGTCTTCGTGTAGATCGGCTTGGTGGCCGGGCGTGTCGTACGGGATGAATACCAATTCTTTTGATCAGTCCCAAATTTCTCTTTTAAAGGTAGACAGAATTCGCCGGTACCGCGAACGACAGTTCTGAAATAGAGGTCCCACGCCCGTCGTCCGCTGCCATCGCCGTCCCCGCGAGTCCCACGATACGCGAAACGACGAACGCACAGAATGCTTCCGGTTGTCTGTGGAACGTTTTTTTTCAATCAACGTATTTACAGCTTTTTAGAAGCCACAAAAAATGGGTTTCATATTTTTTTCTATTTTTAATATTGAGTGTGTGCCTTCAGTGACCCACGACTTTGATTAAATTTGGTGGTCGCATCGATACCTTAGAAAACGGCCCGTGACCTCGAAAAAGAGAGTGAGCGAGACTCGAACCGGCCAGTTCTTGATGGGCGGTTTTCGGGCGGAAAGAAACCGAATTTCGAGCCGCAAATTCTGTTCTGGGTAGTTGAGCTCTCATATGTCACGTACAACTAAAAACCTCGGCGAGCATAAATACCCTGTCAGTGTCCCTTTAAGCAATACAAAACACGTATTGCGTAAAGCGATCATCTCCGAAGGCGACTTCCATTTGCGGAGTATTTGGCGTGTTGTCGTGTAATTATTCCAATTGCATTACAGAGACCACAAAACAAACAAACGACATACCTAGCTCTTCATCCGAATAGGCGCGCACAACGCCTTCGACGTAACGCGGTATCTGGAGCCTCTTCGCTGGCCAGCCAAACGACTCGGCAAACACTTCGCCGAGAACGGCTGCCTCGTTTTCACTCCAGCTGGAGCTAAGCTGGTATCTTCGTCGCTGTCACTGCGTTTTATTAGACCTCCTGAAATTAACTGCAGCGATGTCATCGCCGCAGTATGCTCGGGCTAGTCGGTCATGACGAGGAGAACGAAAACACGCACACCAAGAGAGCCCACTCAGCAATCGAAACAAAAAAGCCGCGAAACTCCTTCACTCCCCCGCGGGAATGTCAATAACGCTACTGAAGCGTTGTGAGTGACGACTACAGATCGTACTCCTCAGAAAAAGGCTGCGCGGAGAACTACTCCGGACCGCTCGACACGCTCCGCCACTTTTCCACGGAGCGGTTGGAGCCGCTCGGCGAGCGCCCCACTGGCTCCAGATTTACAAGCGGCACACGGAGAGATTGCTCTCATCTCGCGAGAGAAACAAGAATCCGCTCGGCGACCGCGCGCCGTGCGCTCACTTTTTGCCAGAGAAGGGGCTATTGAAAACTGGTCTGGATTCTCGCTCGGTCCTCCTCGGTGGCAAGTGTGTGAGCGGCGCATTCAAAATCCGAGCGAAAACACGTTGGCGACACGAAAAGTACCGGCAATGGAATTAAGAAGGATGACAAAGCGAATTAAGAGGAATCAAAGTGAATTTAGGGGAATTAAAGTGAATTATGAGGGATTAAAGAGAATTAAGAGGAATTAAACAGACGTAAGAGGACTACAAGGAATTATGTGCGTGAAATCTAGAAATAACATATAAAACCAATAAAGAACATGTCAAAAAAACGAATGTGTAAAAGAGAACGTGGAACAAAGTAGATCGTGTGTTTGTCTTTACTGCATCGGCGCTTGATCTCTAAAAAAGCCCGTGCGTCTACTTTCCCGCACAACACTTGGAGAGCCAATCACCGCAACTCACGAAGGAAGCTCAGCGAATGACGATGCCGAAACATCTGTTTAGACCAAAAAACGCAGTCTGAGTTGTGACATTAAGCAATGCAAGCGTGACGTTTTGCATTGCTTAATGTCACAACTCAGATTGCGTTTTTTAGACTAAACATATGTTTCCGCATCGTCATTCGCTGAGCTGCCTGCGTAGGTTGTGATGTGCGGCAAAGTAGACGCACGAACTTTTTTTTGGAGTGTGGGCTTTCCGCCTTCAAGCCGTCTTAGGGATAGCATAAAGGACCGTGTGTTTCATAAATCGATATCGTGTCCCATAAAGACAAAACTTTACGCACACAAAATGGCCAGTGAAAATTGTATACTTGTCGCATTAAGCTGTAACTTTTCTCAAATACGTCTTTTACTAGTCCAATCAACATACTAAATGTACAGTTCTTTAATCCCAATAAAACTAAATATAATTCAAAAACTGATATTTTTTAATGGTCGGGCGGCAGCTGTCCGGGGGGGGGGGGGGGGGGGGAATCAAAGAACAGCCATGTTTTCCCAGCGTGTTCAGAGATGGCGCCACCAATGCCGGCAAGCGCAAGTGTACCCAAGCTTTGCGCGCGGATACCTTCACCAATGCCGGCGCGCCTTCCATTCCACGTCTCTTGAGACAAACCAAGCTCCGAAAGTAGGCGCAGAAAGCAAGAAACAATTGTTCTTACGGGTAAGTGATTTGTAAAGCAGCAGTTATCGTCTTTATTTAGCAATTTCTACTACGTGACGTTCCTTGCGTTGCGAGCGCGAACACAGAGTTGAATTATGAGCTTACTTTTTCGCGGATATCGGCAACACGAACTGACACGCGCCTCTAAAACAGATTTCTGTGCGAGGTCACTCGCCCTGCGCCGCCCCCTGCGCGCCTTGCCAGCATTTGTTGCGCAATCTCTGAATAAACTAGGCAAACATGGCCGTCGTTCGACCTCCTTCCATCAGCTGCCGTTCCACCACTGGAAAATTCAGGTCTTTAGTTTTAATTTTATTCCTTTTTGAGGTAACACATTTACATTTTAGTATGTTAATTGGACTCACTGACCTCAATAACAATTGCTGGATCGCGCATCACCGCTACGCGAGTGCGGCCACTGGACGGCCATCTTGCATGCAATTTTTTTCTCGCTTTGATAGCGTTGCAGAGGCCTGCGGCCGCGTGCTAATGACACGTATTCTATTCGTTCGCCGTCATTCGCCAATGACGTTCTTTAAGATCCTCTGTGAGGCGTGACACTTGCCGTTGAGAATACGTGAAAATTTCAACGAAAGCGCAGTGCCGCAAGAAAAAGTCCCAACTCGTCGAAACCCAGTTTCGCCGGCCTCGCGGCGTGTTTAAAGCTTCCTTGCCACGCCGAAGTGCCGTGTCTTTGTGCCTTCGCACGCTTAGATACCGACCAGGAATCGACGCCGTGTGGACGTGTTTTGCGAGTGCAATGTGCGTGAAGCCGTATATAAAGGCACAACTCGTCGAAAGCGAGTGTCGCTGGTCTCGCGGCGTGATCAAAGCTTCCTTGGCATGCCGAGTGCTGCATCCTTGTGCTTTCGCACGCTTCGATACCGATCAAGAGTCGATGCCGCAACAAAGTTCTGAAGGTGCGTCGCACGTAGATGGCTTTAGTTCATACATATATATATCGGCCACGGAGTTCTCGATCGTCCAGTTGTTCCGGTGAGTTGCTATCATTAAAAAAAGGGGGGGGGGGGGGGATCTGTACGTGCTCTTATGTGCTATTAACCATGACTACGTTAAAAATCTACTCTAATGGATCACATTGGAGCACGAAGCGAGCAACGCTATGGAGCAAGGAGGGTTTTCGAAGGCAAAAGTACAAGATGGTGAGAATAAAAATCTTTAAAGCGCGCTCCACGTGGTCATGTGCAATCTGTTGACCACTCACAATTAGGCGAGCCGCGCTCAAACGTCAAGTGCAATAAAGTAGGTTGATAATTAGCCAGAACTAATCGCGATGAAGAGCTGTTTTGCGCAGTAGTATGTAAATCGTCTAAGAACAAAGAAAAAGACGTACCTTCCTCCCTTTTCCGTCGCTACTGGACGGTGGATTAAGCTCGCTTCTGGATTGCGAGTGCCGTTAGCATGCAATCGTCAGAGTAAAGCAAGACGCCGATCCACAGGCACAAACGGCTTCACGCACATTGCACTCGCCAAACACATTCACGCGGCGTCGATTCTTGATCGGTATCCAAGCGTGCAAAAGCAGAGACACATCACTTCGGCGTGCAAAGGGAGCTTTGAACACGCCGCCAAACCGGCAAAACTTGCTTTCAACGAGTTGTGCCTTTTTCCCACGGCACGTAAAAATGTTCACGTGTTCTCAACGGCAAGTATCACGCCTCACACAGGATCTTAAAGAACGTCTTCGGCGAATGACGACGAACGAGTAGAAAACGTGTCTTGAGCACGCTGCCGCCAGCCTCTGCAGCGCTTGCAAAACGAGAAAAAACGGCATGCAAGATGGCCGTCCGGTGGCCGCACTCGCGCTGCAGCGTAGAAGCGGGGATGCGCAATCAAGCAATTGTCATTGAGATGAGTGATTGGACCAGTAAAAGAGGTATTTTAGAAAATTTACATCTTGATACGGCAAGACGCTTGTTTTCACGGACCGTTTTGTTGTGTAACTTTGGGGGAGACACGTTCTACAATCCAAGACTAAACTAATCGCGTTGTTGCATTGAGTTTTTTTAACACGAAATACACGAAGACTTAAAGCATTTTGTCGTAAAGCGCAGAACTGCTGCACTCCAAGAAATGCCAGGCCGTCTACTTATTCGAAAAACGCTCAAAGAGCCAATCTTTGCAGTGTAGGAAATCAGCTCAGCGAATGATGAGCCGCAACATCCGTTTAGACCTAAAAATGAAGTCTGCGCTGTGGCATTACGCAATGCAAAGCGTCATGCTTTCATTACGTAATGCTACAGCGTGGACATAATTTTAAGGTTTAAACAAATGTTCCGCCTCATTATTCTCTGACCTGATTCGCTAGATCGCAATGATTGGCTCTTTGAGCGTTTTGCGGGTAAGTAGACGCGCAGGCATTTTTTAGAATGTGCGTTCGGGACACCTGACATAGCTGATAAAGACACGTTTACAATTGTCGAGTTAATACCATTACCTCATCAAAATTTTAAAATATAAAACGTATTAGTTGCCACGGGTTGTTCTATGTTCACTACGGGACACTATTTGAGAAAGCACATCAGCGCATATCTGCCTTTTTCTCGAACAGGGTGTTGATGAGCCCCAAACTTCGTCGGGTAGATTAGTGAACTGAATTAAGACCTATGCGCCAGACTAGTATTTTTTTCTTTTAAAGCAGTCGCTCATTTTTAAGCTAAAAATAGTATAAACTGTAGAACGCTTGTTAGTACTAACAGTGTCGCGCCCTATGTATATTTAGAGACTAAAAAAAAAGGATGTACCCTATACCTTATTGCGAGTTGTCACACGTATGTTAACTCTGGAAGATATAAGCTAGATAATATTTTATTTTGTTTCCATGCACTCCTGCTCAACAAAATGCACAGAAATCATTGTGAACTCCCGTTTCCGTAAAGTATGAAGGACAAGAATTAAAAAATGTACTAACGTCCTCTCCCTTAAGAACTTCCTCGCCTCCTTCTGCGGAAATCTGGCTCTGCTTCTCTTTCAGCTCCGACTCCAGCTGGTTGAGTTGAACCCGGAGTTCATTCAGAGTTTCTCCTGCGGCCTCTTTTTTTCTTGCTATCACAGCAGCCTGAAAAATAAAGTCACGTCTCACTCCCAGGTTCCTCAGTCATCCTTGAGACCTGGGACACAAAACAAAACATTTTTGGTGTGAGCACGTGGAAATTTGTTTCCATTTTTATTGTTTTCTTGCAGCTCCTGTGATAAGTAAATTGAATGTTTGATAAACTGATAAATTCAGTCCCATAATTTATTAATGTTTTATTTTTCAAGCAAGGATTGTGTCTGATTTAGAGATGTGGTAATAATTAGTAATGTATTCGAGTACATCCTTGAGGCAATAAAACAACGAACACTTGTATAACTAGATATATAAATGCACGTACAATTAAATACGGTCACAGCTAATATCTGAACGCTTTAACACATTAGTTACTATTTTGCACTTCACTCATAAGTTCATCAAAACAGGAGTGCGTAAAAAGGGAAAGACACACATTATTATAGCAGAGGACAAGACATTGCCGCAGTAGATTGGCGGTAACGTTGCCTTACAGATTAAATGTGCTTCGGTCATCGACAACTCTCACAGTCAGGCTATTTTCAATCATTTTATATTTTAGCAATAAAAGCCCAAAAGGGATATTTAGAAAGTACGTGTAAGCACTTTTATGTATCTTGTGTTTTTTCCTAAATAGAGAATTGCAAAGCGTATACATATATCCGTGATGTGGTCTGGTAATTTGTATGAATCACGACAAGAGCCGAAATATTCGGTGTACGAAAATACTTCAACTGTTTATGACTCTGCCACAAAGCAAACCAACGGTAAAAATTTCAAAAGTATAAACTTGATTGGCCATAAGTACCTGTTGTCTAAAGAGTGTCAGCTTGTCGTCGGTGGTCTCCTGGCTTCGCATTTTTTGTTCGTAGAGGGCGTTTATCTCGGCATTTTCTGTGTGTATCTGCAGAAGAGTAAACAGTGAGTATTAATTTTAAATGAAATTAAAAAACAAACCAACTTACGAATAAACTGCTAGAAGAAAGACTCATAATATTTACTATAAATAAGAACATTAAAACCAATATTTGGTGGCAGAAATCAAGAAACTTTTATGTCCAAACATTTTCTTTTTTTGCAAGTTACACACTAAAAAGCACTATGATTCACACTTAGTCTTGAAAGACACTTTCAACTTGCAAACCTTTCTTCCACTGTGTAAATTCAGGCAAAGACAAAACATGAGACCGCTCAATAATTTTGTTTCTTGTGGCATTTAAATAATAAGCGCGCTGTACGACACAAGAACAAGAATTAAAAATAAGACGTGCTAACAGACCTTGGCCTTAATCTTGTCGATGTCGCTTTGCCCCATGGCCGGTTCAGTGGCCACCTTCTGCAAGTCCCGGATGGCGTCTTGACATGCCGCTATCTCCTTGGGAAGCTTGTCTCGTACAAGATATCCGTTCGCGCGCAGTTCTTCCTCCAACCTTTGCAGAAGACCTGTGACCAACGGGCGTCATACGGCGGCTCGTATGAGTCCTTTTTTTTTTCTGTATCTAAATATCCTCTTTTTTGTGTGTGTGTGTAAAACGTTCTAACATTTCTTTTTAGCTCCGATGTATGGTTCCACACAAGTTGAGTGGTATACTGTAATAGAACCAGACAAAAGTACAAGAACCTTCCCTTCTAATCGCCCTTTCAAATGTCGTGTCCGGATCGCATGATGAAGGCTCATCTAATTGTGCATTGAACAATATCTTGAAAAAAGATTTTCGTCGGCTTTAACCTAACTCGATACCTCATAGCAACAGGACAATGTGTCGGCGAAAATATACTGCGCTGCAGATTCGAGCTTCAAAATGTGAAAATCCCGATCATTATATCATGTACTAATCCTTCGACAAAAATGAAATTGACCATATTGTATCACTCGGGTTTTTTTCCCCGCTCCTGTTGTCGTTCAGCCTTAGTAAATCAGGACCGGTTGCTGCACAATGTGTATTTTGATCATGTCCCGTATTATGATACTATAGAATATTTAGATTGCGCTTCGATACAATTCTTTCACAAAAATGCGGTTACAAAAAACTTACCGCATTTAAAATGTTTTTTTTTTATTTTTTAGTTTACGTCGAATAAAACAATATTTATGCGTGCCCCTTGGTCTATGCAAGCCCATTGCTTATTCATTAGCTTATAGCTCTTTGGGCCTCGGCATTGTATAGTTGTTAGAAAATGCCCCAGATTAGAACAAACTTCTAACAACAGCTATTTAATATATTGACTACGGTTAACGAATATCTGATTAAAATATATCAGCTAATGCGAATTTTTCAATGGCTATTAGTAAAATTAAGATATAAATCGCCACTTATTACTTTCGTAACCTGACTTCAGGCTGGGTGAAGAACATTATCCCGGAGAAATGATAACTTCGATTGAAGTTGCTTTTAAAAAAAGCCGTTTACAACTCCCTGTAACGCCGAATTAGAGCGCAGCTCTTGAGGAGGAGGAGGGAAGGGTACTGGGGGGTGGGTCAAGTGACCTCGGGGGCGGGGGGTCACGTGACCTTGGGGGTCACGTGACCTTGGGGCGTCACGTGACGTCGCGGGGGTCACGTGACCTGGGGCCACGTGACGATACCGATGACGTCATCAGTAGCGTCACTGATGACGCCATCAGTGATGATGATGACGATGCGGATGCCGGTGACGTCACTAATGACGTCATCAGTGATGATGATGATGACGACGCGGATGCCGGTGACATCATCAGTGACGTCACTGATGACGTCATCAGTGGCTATGACGTCAACGGGGGGTCACGTGACCTCGGGGGTATCCCCAGGTCACGTGACCCCAGGGGGGGTCACTTGACCTGGGTAACCATCGTGACCCTCGTGAGGGTAACCCTAGTAACCCTTGTGAGGGCAACTCTCGTGACCCTCGTGAGGGTAACTCTCGTGACCCTCGTGAGGGTAACTCTCGTGACCCTCGTAAGGGTAACTCTCATAACCCTCGTGACCCTCGTGAGGGTAACCCTCGTGAAGGTTACCCTCACGAGGGTTACTAACCCTCGTAACCCTCGTGAGGGTTACGAGGGTAAGTAACCCTCGTGAGGGTAACTCTCATAACCCTCGTGACCCTCGTGAGGGTAGCCCTCGTGAAGGTTACCCTCACGAGGGTTACTAACCCTCGTGAGGGTTAGTAACCCTCACGAGGGTCACGAGGGTTACTAACCCTCGTAACCCTCGTAACCCTCACGAGGGTTACGAGGGTTAACCCTCGTGAGGGTAACCCTCGTGAAGGTAACCCTTTTGAGGGTAACTAACCCTCGTAACCCTCGTGAGGGTTACGAGGGTAAGTAACCCTCGTGGCCCTCGTGATCCTCGTGAGGGTAACCCTCATGAGATTAACCCTCGTAACCCTCGTAACCCTCACGAGGGTTACGAGGGTTGCGGTTACGCCGACGCCGACGCCGACGCCGACGCCGACGCCGACGGCGACGGCGACGCCGACGCCGACGGCGACGCCGCTCAAGCCGGGAACGGGCCCCTAAGAGCTGCGCTCTAAAAAAACATATGTTTGGAATATTAAGTCTAACATGCGGTGAAAATAAAGTCATCCTCGACGTGGTACAGGTGTTTATATCAGGCATCCGCTACAGGTGCGTTTCCCTGGTGTTATCCAGGTTCAGATCTGAAACGTTCATGCCGGCTTATACTCCAACGGAAACTCGATGAACGCTTGGCAGCACCGGTATACCCCATCTTAAATAATCCTCTCCTGTTCCACAGAGAAGAGCCAATGAATGACTGCCGCGTTACCGCTTATGCTCCTCCAAACTGCGCATGGGCATAAACGTTCGCTTCGTGTCGGTGTCATATTTAAGGTAGAAGCGTGACGTTAGTAGCGCGACTACAAGGCTACGCTCAACAAAACAATTGATCTTTGTGTGCAACTAGCAGAAATGGCCGCTTTTTCGACCATCCCGTCGAGCACTCGAGTGAACTGTAATACGACCCGTGCCATTATCAACCCGGACGCGTACATTGGCAGAAATAGCATGCAACGGCAAGATAATCTCCGAGTTCTGGACTTATTTCAAAGCTCATTTATGGACGACATTAAGAAGCCGCAGATACTCGACGTGGGTTGCGGAACTGGCGACTTCACCCGTGATCATCTCCTTCCACGGTGCCCAGACGTGGAAAGAATCGTCGCAGTAGACATATCTCAGGATATGGTGGAGTTTGCTAGGGAGCATTTTGCTCACCCTAAGATTCGCTACGATGTCTTTGACATTTCGAGGCATGACATGACCGAATTTGTCGAGCGATACGGTCAGTTCGATCGTGTGTACTCCTTCTTTTGCTTAAGCTGGACAAACGATCAAGAAACGGCGCTCAAGAACATTGAAGAATTGTTGAAGCCCGGGGGTGGATGTCTGCTTCTCTTCACTGCTACCAGTAGCATTATGCGTTTGAGAAAAAAGTTGTCATCAATTGATCATTGGCAAAAATACCGAAAGGTAAGATGATATTGTCCTTAATTATAATATTAGTATGTGTCACTTGTTTTCAGACACAGCGGTCTCCAATGCGAAGGAAATTATTTTCAGTTGCTACTAAGGGTTGAAGTCAAATCTTTTTTTTTCGATTTTACTTGCTTTTAAAAAGCTTATCCGAAATTGCCTGGCGCAATGTCTAATTTTTGCCAGTTGCGCAGGAGTATGAATGTGTTACTAATAGTATAAACTTATAGTAAAATATACAATAAGGGGGGAGGGGGGGGGGGGGGGGCTAGGTTACACATACACTTGTCGTTATCTACCGTGTTGTTAAAGAACTAATTAAGTGAAAAGCGAATCAGTTTCGCTTATAGATTTTAAAGCTTCTAAACGATTTTTGGTTGAGACTGCAGGTGATCTAATTTCCCAAAATAAGTTATTTTCGGGGATTTTTCTTTTTTCTCGTGGTATAAAAGTGGGCTGAAGTCATATGCTCGTGCTATCGTTCAAGTAAGGGATATTTTTGGATCCTCAATGATGTGGATGGACATCAAAAAGCAATTTGCAAACCGCGTGTTTATTAGTGTAGCGGGTCCAGCGAATTATGGAATAAAAAAAACTCTAGTGAAATCCTGCTTCGCGCCCCCTGCAGTATATTCCGCTTTATCACTGAAAACGGTAAACAAAATAAGAAATGCTCAAGTCAAAGTTGAAGTCTGACGTTGCTCTAAATATTATCCCGGTTTATATCGGTGAGCATTGGAACAAATACAACAAAAAAGGTTAGTTGGAGTAACAAATAAAGTGTCATTTTCTATATCCAGATGGCCTTCCAAATATTAGGTTATTTTTCACTTTTGGGGCCACCGTAATTACTCGAAAATATGTCGATCTTTATATGAGCATGCCTACGTGGCTACTATCCCGCAGAACCCACAGAGAACAGTCATGGATATTTAGAAAAAGAACCGGCGAGTAGCAAAACAAAGATAACGCCGGAATAAAAAAAAAATGTATGCGGTCCCCACAGATCTCATTTTTGCTTTCCGACGTTATCATTGCCTCGTCATTATACAGGCGCGCGCATTGTTCATAAAGAGGTCAGCTTTTTTCGAATAACCACTGTAGTTTAAAAACGCCGGTGTATTTCTCGCAGAATGTTATATGTCAAAATTTCTATGGGACGCGTCCTATAAATTTTTTGAGTATTCTTCACAGCGAAGAAACCGCTGCGAAGAGGGACAACGGCAGGAGCGACGCGGAGCGAGAAACACGAAGGATTCATGCAATCACGAGGAACGGATCATTCAGCAACGACCGTTTCGCCTGGCCTTGATGTATCTATTTGGCATGTAAATGTTGTGAATAAAGTTTACTGAAGACGTAAAGAACGGCAAGAAGTCATTTCATACTATGGCGGACAAAACTGGGTATAGCAGAGTCAAGCGAGTTGGCGACGTCTTCTTCGCGGATAGCAGACGACGAAGCGGTGGTGTGATCACGAGCTGGATGAGCAAGACTCCCGTTCCGCGCACGCGTGGTGGACTTCTAACTCCGCGCACGCGCGGCACTGGAAATACGGGAGGGCCACCGGTCGAGCGCTTTAGGCACCTGTTTCCGCGATACTATCGCTACGAAGCGGAGCAATAAACGTTCCTACCACAAAAAACATTAAGCTACGTCTCTCGTTCGTAGCTTTCACCAAAATTGCCCTTATACTTCAAAAATATGGCTCCGAACCCCTCAATTACGGGTAGTATTGCGTTCGTCGCTTCCAAGCAGTATCGCTTTTTTTTTAGCAATGCGTCATGTAATTCTCGATTGTTGGATTCAAACACAAAGCTCTTTGACTGATCTACGCTCAGTGACGTTAGTCGTTGCAAATGTTTCAGTTTTTGAACTTATAGTTCTGCAAACTCAGTGCCTTTCTAAAGCTGAACAACAAAGTGTGTAATGCACAGTATACATTTAACCCCATCTATGCAGATGATCGAGTATTCATTTCCTCCAAGCGTAGATTTGGTGAGCCGAGATGCCCTTCTGTCGTACATTTCGGGCCTTCTGAAGAAAACAAGCCTAATTCCAACCACGTGCGAGGTGCTGCAAGTGACGCACACATATTCCAGCTTTGACGAACTGGCCCGTAAGCATTCAACGCCTCAGTTGTTTTGTGTGAGCAGTTGAAATAAAACATGGGATCTTAAATGATCGCCCAAATACATTTTATTGTTGCTGCGTTATTCTTGAATAAAAGAAGGTATTTGTCTTTTTTTTTCAGAGATGCACATGAGCCTGAACCGCCTTTCAAACCTTGTGCCGAAAGAAGAGAAGCCTCTTCTCCTCAAGGACGTTACCGAAAATGCGGCTAGGTTATGGGCTGAAAAGGAGGCCGGTGGATCACCCTTCTGCTCTTCCATGTTTCTGGTGCGCGCCCAAAAACCATGACGTTGCTACCATGCAAACTCTGAAAATCCTCTTCTTTTATGTCCTAGTTAATTTGGTGTAGGTGCAGAAAATGACATGGGAAGGACTTACTCAGCTTTTGCAAATCATTTGTTAGACTGTCCAGTTGATTTGTGTCTCGTCTTATTTGAGACAATCATAAATAGCAGAAGTCAGTTTAAATGCGCCAAGGTTTCTATTTTCTGTCATAACTTGAAACCTAGGTAACTAAAGTTATATATAACGTTACACTGACATATTTCCCGCTGCATCGGATGCCCTAGAAGAAAGGCAGCCATCCACGGCTTTAATAAAGTATTTTGTTTAATAGCTCGTAGGAATTTATTGATCACAAAGCTGCAGCAAAAGCCATAAGGCACCAAAGAAACCCTGATGACTCGATGTTGTTATACAGTAATTGTCGCTTTGAGTACTTTCCTGCCGAGTCGAATCAAGATTTGTGAATTTCGGTTAGTTGGACGCTTTGCAGGGCCTGCTCACACACGATGCCAGAAATAGTGCGTCGAGGTCCCAGATTTTTTTTATACTTTAAATATTGTTCTTTGATATACCCATACATTATCATTAGATAAAAATGGTTTTTGATACCGAAACTAGATACATTATTTTCGAAACGTTGAACAATTCATGAATTCTTGCCAACATGTTACTGGCTGATTTTGCTTCCTTACAATTCTTTTTGTTTTGTTTTGTTTTTTGTACGATAGTTCTAATTTTACAGTGTTAAATATCCACCAACCAATTGGTACTCAGTAGCATAACTTTCATTTATTTTCCCATGAAACTAGTTTTCAGATTTTGCTATTTTCGCATTTTCGTCCACATCATAACTACTTCAAAATGTTTTTTTTTTTGCGCTGAATTTGAAATGTCTATTCTAAAATATATTAACAAACATAATAGGTTGTTTACACCCGCCCCATTTTGTGCGAAGGACTCAGGCCAGTTATGTTGAATTTTCACTATCTCGTCTACATATCATACCTTTACGAATACTTAAAAGGATAAAACATTGAGGACGGGGACGGAAACAGGAGTTGTTTCATTGAGCAACAACATAGGATGGCGGAAAATATAAAACCGCCCCCAAAGGTTTCAACGCGCGCAAAGAAGGAAAGTAAAAAATTGTTAAAAATGAAAGGATTTTACTATAAATATAAAAGATTAAAAGGCGCTGGCGTCACGACTAGATATCAGTAATCTAGTTACCACTGGTGCTAGGAATTCGACCTCTTTCAATGTCCGTGATAATGAAGGTGGGGAACTGTTATTCTTGACTGTCTCAAACGGAAAGCTACCATAACTTTAAAAGTTTATATGCACTAGCGTCACGACGAGGTATCAGTAAAGTAATCTAGTCATCGCAGATGTTACGAATTCTAACTTTGTCTTTGTCAGTGATAACGAAGGTAAATAAATGTTCTTGCTGGGGGGGGGGGGGGGGCAGTCCCTATGGCAAATGATTCAATAATTTCCCTCCCAAATCTGTCGTTGTGCCCGCCCAGTATTCTAGTATCAGAGAAATAGGTAGTTCAGTCATCGCACGTGCGGCTGTGAACGACGACTAGCTGAAATGCTCATTTAAAGTATTTGATGCTTCCAAGCTCTGTTTTCTGTGTTCATGGTTAACGCATCTCCCAGTATGTCCGATCTACCGAATGCCGCAGCTTAGTGGAATTCACTAAACCTTTATTTCTTCACCCCCTACAAACTTTTTAACACGTTTTACATTTCACCTTGTTGTCTATCGTTTCCATTAACCTTTTTACACATCTGTTGAAGGCGCATACGCTAGGATAAAAACACACTCGTGTCGAACTTGGACGTGATATATCTTAAACACTGCGCGGAATTGAGTATGTAAGGAATCACAGCGATACGATCTTTCTCTTTGGCGACAGCATGAGGCATTTGTTGCCCGAGAATGAACCTTTCAGGGGTGGAACAAAGTAGGTCCGCAGGAAAGCCTGTTCTTTTCAACCTGTTTTGCTGCAACTTGAAGTTACTTTCGGAGAAATGCGTACACGTCTTGGAAAATGAGGACTTAAAAAGTGATTTCACTATGCCATGCTTAACTGGCTTGGAGTGAGCACTGGTGAAAGAGAGGACTGGATTCTTCGATCTCTGCTGGAAGGCCGAACAAAGACCTGAGGAATAACGATGCAAATATAAATCCAGGTATTGTAAGCCTTCCTTTGAAGGATTTTGCTGCGTAAAAGTTAGTCTCGCTGCACAGTCTTTGAAAACTTCAAGGATGCTGTCAGCGAGCACAACGTCTGAATAAATGGCGAATCCATCGTCAACGTACCTAAATATTGGGCAACCCATGTAACTGTCAAAAGTAATATTTCTGCACCTCCGTTGTAACTGAAAATTACAGAGGTCGAGCTCCTAGCACCAGAGGTAACTAGATTACTGATGCCTAGTCGTGACGCCAGAGCCTTTTTAACTTTTATATCTATAGCAAATTTCCTTTACTTTTTAGCAATTTGCTCCTTTTCTTCTTCGCGAACGTTGAAACCTTTGGGGGGCGGTTTTTATATTTCGTGCTGTTCTATGTCTTTGCTCAATGAAAGAAGTCCTGTTTCCGACCCCGTCCTCGATGTTTCATTCTTTCAAGTATTCGTATCAATTCACCAAAACGCTCTTTTTTAATTATTGCAGTGATCCCTTTCCTTTTTTTATGAAAAATATGCTTTCGTTTTTTTTCGATTTTAGCATAAATATATTAGACTAATAAGTACATAATCACATTTTGTTATGCCAGGTAAAATAGTCACACGATTTTAAATTAACGCGCGTGGGGAAAAGGATGATACATGTAGTTCTGCTATTGTCACGAATAACAAACGAAGAGGCAGGAGAGGACAGAATGAACTTAAGATTTAATGCAGGCGACCTTTTGCCAGAGACGAAGAAGAACACACATCAAGAAAGCAGCAGCGAGCGTCGACGGCGGCAGCAGCAAGCGACGCTGCGTCGGCGTAACACCTGGCTATCGCGAGAGAGAATCATTGAAAGAATCGGCAATACGGCGCTCGCTTCTTTATCTATTATGCTCGTCATTTCGAATATTCGACCTAGAATTTTCGGGAAAGAGCTAGGGTGAGACTGGCAAGTTAAGGTCATTCTGGGCTCCTCGTATTTTACGCTGGAAGAAGAGTATACGCAAATATTCTGGATGAACGGAGAAGCGGAGAAGCGGATGAATACGCATAGTTCCTACGCGTTTTTATTTGCTTTTTTTTTTTTTTTCCTTCATCCTGAATCGTTTTGCCCCATTTTTTTATATATATACGGAGCAGGGAGGGTGCCCTGTGTGAGCTCCGCCTCCATAACCCTGCAACCTAGAGAAAACGTCTTTCTGCAGGGCACCCTCTCTGCTCAGTATGAATAGTACGAATAAAAAAGGGGGCAACATGATTCAGGATAAAGAAAAGAAGAAACAAAAGCGAATGAATACGCATAAGAGCTAGTAGAAGGGAAGATAGATTTATTCAAATAGTTGGTAGTCCAGCGAAAGGTCTTTTTTTGTTTCTCCTTCCTTCATTGTCCAGCTGGTTTCACCCGTAAGGCGCTGACACGTCAAACATCATTTGTTTTATTATCCGGAACGATTGAAAACGATGACTGGAAGCTTGGGAGAAGTAGAGAAACAATTTTCAAAAACCGAATTTGACGCTCCTGCGCAATCTGCGCTAGCGCAGTGACATCAAAGATTAAGTCGTCCTGTAACTCGAGCTTCTCGCAGCGCCTCGAAGCGGCCCAACCGGAAATGTCGAATTCGCCCGCGATCAACCGACCTTCCCCACGCGTGCTGTATATAGCTGTGAACTGACGATGCCTCATTTTTGAGTTTGAAGTTCTTTTAGGGCTCTGACGGTGTGAGGCCGAAAAGGACGTCCAGTGGACTTTTGTGAGTAACATGAGGGGCCATGTCGCGCCGGTGCTGCGTGAAAGGCTACTCCGCAGCGGGTCGACGAGGATTACGAGGTCAGCCCAAGCTTCTCGAGAGCGTTGGGGGCTCAAGTGGTACCTCAGATGAGGCGTGGTGTCGTTCCGACGAACTTGCCGCAGCAAGTCACATCATACGAAGCAAAACGTCCAAGGATAGAGGTAAGTCTACCACACATAGAAAACTTCGTTCAATTCCGCTACTCCCCGATCATCCTCACTGCTGCTACACGGTCTGCTATAGGTGCAAAGTGACGCCATGTTCTCCGAGGAAGTATAAAAAGCCAGGAAGCCGCATCACTTCCGGGTTAAGATTTTTGATATTTCAAAAGAAGAGACGTAGCGCGTTGCAATGGCATTAAAAAAACATGTTCCCTATTGAAAATTCCTTCAAGATACGTAATTTGGGACACTGACTGCCAGTCAGCAGCCTTGGTAGAACGTGATGAACCATCAGACGTCATCTGATGGTCCATCAGATGACGTCTGACTGCCACTGCCAAGGGAATTTCATCAACAAGGGCAGCATTTATATAAGAGTAAAGCTATACGCACTCATAAATATCGCCAAAATCCTCGATAAAACAAAATGTTCGAGAAAAAAAAAAAAAGAAGCAGGACCACCGCGGATCGAACCTGCGACCACTTGCGTACAAACCGGACACCTTTACCTCTACGCCATGCCAACGCTTTGGAAACTTGATTTGACCATTTGTTTTATACGAGATGCTTCGGCTGCAAATGCAGTTAAGTCTCCAGCATGTTATGCAAAGCACTCGTACATCACTCGCCGAACTTCAGTTCTACTCACCTCCCATGTAGAGTACTTTCGCGTCGTAGAACGATCCTTTTGTTCGCGCGTCTCCGGCCCAGTAGACCTGGTACACCTTGTCGTCTTCAACTACACCGCTAAAGTCCCTTACATCGTCGGAACTCACAACAGGCTGGGTCTTGTCGAGTAGAAATTCTACTAAAACATAAGACATTGTAGAGCCCGGGCAGGATCGACAGGTTGGAGCAAGCGGGCAAACAAAACGAGTCGAGAGCGATCGTTCATGAAAGCTCGGCGAAGCGGCGAAGCCTCTATGGGCGAAGCGAAGTGGCGTGTTCGGCGGCGTTTCGGCGTGCTTCTGGTCAAGGTTGTCGGTCGGCTGCGTGTCATATCTTTAACATCAGCGGTTTTATGGGCTCACATCCCGAAATCGTTTTCTTGTGCATAGATTATTTTTCGTATTCATAGATTTGACGAAATAGCTATTTTAGTTTATTATTTTTATTACCAAAGTAGTTATACTATATCACTATAGTTTATTTTATAGGATTACTGAAGGAGTTTATCTCACCTTCTGGGGTCGCCCCGAGTCCCGACTGTCGGAGGTCCCTGAGCTGTTGCGTCAGTCTCTGGATCTTTTGCTCGCAGTGGTTCAGCTACGCCAACGTGAGACACAAACAATGGAAAGTCGTTCGGAACTCATTACACCACAATTTAGTGTATGGCGGGACTGGGATACACTGATATTTCTCTCTCTCTCTCTCTTTTGCGAGAGTGAATGTCTGAGCTGGTCGGCATGAAATATGCACTGGAACACTTAAAGGAATTGTCACCGAGAGCGTACGACACGCGTGGACACACTGTTATGTCCACGCTTCTGGATTTGTGATTTGGTCTTTGGTGCTCTTATCGGTTAAAGAAGGTACCATCTTATTGGCTGAGGAGCGATGACGTCATGCTTGAAACTCGCCACGTCCTGCGTTTTTTGTTTTTTTTTGTAATTGATATAAGCTGTTTTATCTTTGATTCAACATACGCGGCAATTTGACAGCCATTAGTTGTGGCAGTCAGATGGATATATATGTGATTTTAGTCGGTTTATTCTTCCAATTATACACCATAAATATATGTTCAAGTTTGAATAATTAGTTTTACCGCGGTAGCTATTCCGATCACGACTCAGGCTCCTTTTGTCGAGCGACACAACTAGGCTGATCTAATTTTTATACTTTTTTTTTTTCTTGCTACACGCCTGAATGTTGTTTTACTTGTGAAATCCGTTGAGATATAAAAATAGCAAAAGCCATAAAAAAAAAAAAAAAACACGGAGACAGAGCAACACCCAAAAGAAACGCAATGGCGTTTTTTTTCTTGTTTTTTTTTATCGAGGTTTTAAAGGTAAAGTATGAACGTGTAAATGCAGAATGTAAGAGGGTGCGTGTAAATGTTCAGTCCTCAGCATCAACCACAATTAGTGGCGCTGATTTATCAAGGTTTAAAATTGCGTTTACAGATATCGCTTTTGCTCAATGATGTTCTAGCGAACGGCGGCAGTTTTCTCCAAAAACAATTTCACTGAATAACCTTGCTCTTAATGAACCTTTTCGATAACCCGTTACTTTTGTCTTTAACTCTAGCATTTGTATGAGATATTGCAACGAATTTTGGTCAACATTTCAAGTTTAGGATTCCGACTGCGACGCTAAAAATCGAAACTGGTCTTGTAATTTATTGTTAATTTATTTTCGCATTTTTTGCGTTACTATAAAGCTGCGCCAACGTAAATTAATTAAAAAATAGGGCTGCAAAAGTCATCTTTACGTTAACGTTAAAGTTAATTTCTTTCAGTGAAAATCACGTGGGATTCGTTGCACGAAGGGATAGAAAAGTAAAAGTAAACAAGCGGATTTTAAAACCCGTGAAAAAACTCGCAGCATTGAGGTTTGCTTGAGCTTTTAAAACGTTTCACTGAACCTGATAGTAAACTAAAGCGATTGATCGGATGCCTTAAAAATAATTGTCCCCGTGGCCTGAAGTGCACAGAGCAAGGAGAGTTCCGTTTGCATATATTTGTAGTATAGATCACCGGCATTTAAGAAGCTTACGCTTTATCAAAAGCAACATAAAACAGCAATCCGCTCTCTTCCCTCGCATACAACTTGCTTCACTATTTACGCTTGAAGTCTTCCCACTAACAGTTCATAAACGTCATTCTTTGAGACGGCAGATTCCAGATCTACGTGTTCATTCCTCAAACCGTCGTGGGGCGAGTTTTGTAATTACCCGCCAAAGGCTTGAAATATAACGGCATTTTTTATTCATCAGATAGGACTTTTTTCTTTGATATTATTGTGGTAGACGCAATGCTTATGACAAGTGGTTACTCGTCGTCTTCGCTTACTCAATAAATGCCTGTTTTGGCCCTGAATCTGTGTAAGCTTATCGCAAGTTCTGTTATTTAAATTCTGCATGCTTTCTTACATGTGCAAACCTCAAATACGTAGATGTGAGGCGCGTCGGTATACTCAAGATACTCACGGCGTACTCCGTTGTCTAAGATATTTCATAGGAATGCTCATGGGCGCACTCACCGCATCTTGTTGATTCATTCTTTGTTGGGAAAGGGTGTCTGCTTTGTCCTGCTCTTCGCGGAGGTTTCTGGCGAGCTCTAACATGGCATCCTTGTTGCTGTGAACGTCAACCTGCAGGTCAAAGCATAAGAACACGGCTGTGGTAATTTTAAAGAATTAAGAAGAAATGACTTACGGGCTAGCAGTTATAACATTCTTGAGCGATAACTTCTTTCATGAACTTAGCTTTCAAGGATGTCGTAGCCCCTCAAAAGTTTCTCGTGCAAGGTTTGAGCTCATCGTTCTGCATGGAACTTACCAAGGTAGGTGTAAGGATCGACGAGAGCTCCGCGGGTGGGCCGTTAGCACCAGGGAGATTTGACTGGGGGGAAAGCGTAGTTGTAAACACTTCCCTTGGCGGGCGACCTCGAGAGACAGGCGTACTTTACGACGCGGGGTTCGGGGCGCGCGTTTTCTGCCGAGAGAATCGGAGCGTGCGTTCCGGGCCGGAAAAGTAAAGTTACACCACCACCGCCACCAGAGCGCAGTGGCTCTGGCCGGCGCTGTTTACACGGCGCGTTTACATCGGTTTAGTCTTTTTCGCCCGAGTGTGGGGGGGTCGCGGCAGAACGGCAACGTCAGACCGCCTCTGGCAGAATGAATTGCGGGATGGCTCACTTAGTCGGCGCTATCCACACTGGGGTCGGTTGTCCACTTCGCCATGCGAGAAATGATTTTGCTTGCATCCGAACCAGCCCGACCTTTGACCGTGAGATGTACGCAGATCGCGGGTTCCCACCCGGGAATACAAGCAATTCCCACGTGGCGAGAAAGTGAGCCGATTGGTTGGCGGTGGGAAACGCCTGTCTCACGACGCGTCGAGGATTCGCCGGTCCACTAAAAGGGGACGGACCAACGAGTAACTTGGATTAGAAACTCAGCGAGTGAGTTTAGTTCGTGCTGGGGCTCGAGAGCTGTCGCTCCGTAATCGAGTCAGGTCGTGGGATTCCGAGGGACGTCCCCGTAATCGGGACGTAATCCCACGAGCCAGCCAACTCCCGAGCTTGGATAAGCTAACACCCGACCACCTCCTTCCCAACCCCGTACAGGGGAAGTTATCATTTCACAGTATCGTTTTTCTTTGTATTTTCATTCGTTTCAAAAGTATTAAATTGTTTTGTTTAAAAGTAATTCCCAAAGTCAACTGAATTAGTCGTCGACGGCCAAGGGAAGCAACTTCGTCTCCGGCAAGACCCGCCCAGCTTCCCACAACGAAGCCCGTCACCCCATCCGGACCTGGCAGTCTGGACGGCGCAAGGTGACCAGAGGAACGAAAGAACCTGTACTAACGCAGTCGACAGGATTGGCTTCGACGACATCGAAATTCAAGAAACATCATCGAGGGGCAACGGAACGACTACCGCAGAGAGCCCACGCATCAGAGACCGACTAGCGTCAAGGGAGCCCACTGTCACCCCGTGCCATCCAGTCCAAGGGAGACTCCGCGGCGCCGGTGAGTGGAACCTTCACGTTTCTTTGGTGTGTGCGCAGACGTAGGAGTCAGTGTGCAGGAAAATATGAAGAAATCGGGGGATAAAGCGAAAACTGCGGAAAATGACAAAGGGACCGACGGAGGGGCGGAAGGGTCAGAAAGTTGGTCCGCCGACGAGCGCGCTGCCCATGCGCACGCGGAAACCATGCGGCGCATGGAGCACGAGCACGAAATTGCCATGTTAAAACTCAAGCTTGAGAGCGAGGAAAGGATCGCGGCAATGCGTGGACCGAGTGTCGGTGAGGCGGCTACCGTGACGACCGGAATGGGCAGGCTGGACCCTGTTTCGCAATGCGCGAAACTTCTTAAAAATCAGAAACTGCCACCTGACGCGGAAGTTCCTGTTTGGTTCGACGGTGTCGAAAAGATGTTCGCGGCCTACGGAGTGCCGAATGAGAGCCGAGTACATCTGATAATGCCGGCGTTGTCAGAAAGAGTTAAATATCTTTTTACGAGGTTATCTGCGGAGGAGATAGCTAGCTACGACACGGTCAAGGCCGCCGTCCTGGACGAGCTCCGACTCACCCCTGGCGAGTACCGGAAGCGGTTTGCCGGCGCGCGTAAGCGAAAAGACGAGGGGTGGGCGCAGTTCGCCTCGAGGACGGCGAGCTATTTCAGCTACTACCTGGAGGCGCGCAAAGTAGAGAGTAAAGAGGACCTGATTCATCTGATGGTCGCAGACCAGGTGAAGTCGAGCCTCAGTGAGGAGTGTCTCCGGCACGTCACGCTGCGTGAAGAGACAAAGTGGCTGCAGGCGCACGAGCTAGCTAAGGTGGTACAGATGTACGAGGAGGCAGAGAGAGACGGACGAACGGCGAGGGGCATAGAAGTCAGAGGCGACGGCTCGAAGCCGGGGACGGACGCTTCTAAGCAGAGCCCTCCTCGCACTTCGCCTCGTTGCTTTGGCTGTAACCAAAGCGGGCACATTTCGCGAAACTGCCCTAACCGCAAAGAGCAAGACGAAACGGCTCGAAAGCCACTCGTACAGGGAGTGATGGTAGGGGACAGAACTGCTGTTTTGAGTTTCCCTCAACAGCCAACGGCTGCAGTAGATAAGAATGACAAGTGGGGACCCAGAGGTTCAGGACTGATCCTAGTCGAACTTTTCTCCGGCGACCAAGAGCTAACGGCCGTGCGAGACACCGGAAGTGAAATAACAGTCGTCAGAGAGAGCGCCGTTCCGCCGGAACTGGTCGAGCATAGCGGCACAGTTCGCCTTGTTTCTGCCTTTGGGCAACAGGTAACAGCAAAACTCGTGCGTTTGCCGCTGCAGGCCAGGCGCCGGGGAGGGGTTGCTCAGAGTGATCCGGTCACCGTACTGTGTGCGGTTACCGATACACTGACTATCACGGCGGATTGCTTACTTTCATCGTATGACTGGAAGTTGCTGAACCGGCACAAAGACCAGGATTTTGATGAGGGTGAACACAGGATAGCATCACCGAATGCTTTCGTGGCGGCTTCAGGTCCTGTGACTCGGGAGGGCGGAACCAAAGTGGTTCGTGCGAGCCGGCTGAGAAACAGCCGTGCTCGAGTGGGACATGTGGGAGTCATGCTTCACGAAGATGCTAACTTTGGAGACGTAAACTGCGCGCCCCCCGAAAACGGCGCGACTGAACAAACAGGTGAGCTCATTCACGAGGAGTGTCAGGTTGCCGGGGGGTCAGTCACTCTCCCCGGGCACGTCGTGGGGTCTGGAACGAATAAACACGACCCAAATAAGGACGCCGCGACCGAGGGTTTAGATTACCCGCGTAATAAGAGGGAACCGCAGAGTGTCCTGGGACCGTGTGGCTACTTCCGAGAGTACGCAAAACGCTACGCTGCTATCGCCGAGCTCTGCACGGCCCTTGCCAAAAAGGGCGAACTGAACGAAATACCTAGGCCGGAGGGGGCGGAGGGCGCATTCCCGCAGCTAAAGACAGCACTCTATGAGGCGGCGATCCTTTCGACCCCGAGCTTGCAGGAGCCTTGCTGGCTTTTGACAGACGCGTCAGCAGTGGCACCAGGGTCGTGCCTGGGCCAGATCGGGAGTGGCGGAGCCGAGAAGCCGATCGCGTTCGCCAGCCATACGTTCACTCCTACCCAAACACGCTGGTCCACCATTGGGCGCGAGGCGTTCGCTCTCGTTTGGGCGCTTGTCACATTTTATGGCGGGCTCTTGGGCGCAAAAGTGCACGTCGTGTCGGACCACAACCCTCTGTCCTACCTGACGTCCTTCGGACCGCATGGGGCAAAGCTATCAAAGTGGGCTCTAGCGCTACTGCGCTATGATGTGATCATGACCCACAGAAAGGGGTCCGCTAGCGGTAACGCAGACGCTTTGTCTCGCTTGCTGAACAGATTTTGGGGTACCACTGACTCAGCGCTGCGCCCACCCGAGAGCATGGGTGGTTCTGCCTACCGCGCGGCCTGACTTGTATACCCCAGGAGTGTGGTCTTGCTGCTGTGTCCGTGCGTGAAGAGACTTCGTCAAACCTCGTGGCTGCTGTGACTTGACATTTTCCAGTGCACGAGCCTAGAGACAATTGTTTTGCGAAGCATTTTTTTTTTTTGTGTGTTCCGATGCGCGGTTATTGCAGCAGGCGTGTTCCGTTCAGCGTTCTTCTTTCTTTTCTTGTTCCTGGCGTAAACGTTGATGCCTGCATTGTGACATGTGCGCGTATTTTCTTTTATAGTGACGTACTGTCATTCAATATGGGGACATTGCATGGCGCGTGTTTAATGGTGTTTTTTTTTTTGTCTTTTTGGTTTTGCAGCGTTGAAGAGCTCGGTCATGTCACTTGTATACGTATTCATCTTCAGTATTATGCACTGATGTTTACGAAGATAACCTTTTTTTTTACAACGCCACTTGCGTTTTTTTTTTGTGCATCGTATGTAGAAATGCGACTGATGTCTTCGATCCTTTTTTTCATGTTTGACTCTTAGATGTTCTTTCAGTCCAGCAAGAGTCTTAAGGGGGGAGGTGTAAGGATCGACGAGAGCTCCGCGGGTGGGCCGTTAGCACCAGGGAGATTTGACTGGGGGGAAAGCGTAGTTGTAAACACTTCCCTTGGCGGGCGACCTCGAGAGACAGGCGTACTTTACGACGCGGGGTTCGGGGCGCGCGTTTTCTGCCGAGAGAATCGGAGCGTGCGTTCCGGGCCGGAAAAGTAAAGTTACACCACCACCGCCACCAGAGCGCAGTGGCTCTGGCCGGCGCTGTTTACACGGCGCGTTTACATCGGTTTAGTCTTTTTCGCCCGAGTGTGGGGGGTCGCGGCAGAACGGCAACGTCAGACCGCCTCTGGCAGAATGAATTGCGGGATGGCTCACTTAGTCGGCGCTATCCACACTGGGGTCGGTTGTCCACTTCGCCATGCGAGAAATGATTTTGCTTGCATCCGAACCAGCCCGACCTTTGACCGTGAGATGTACGCAGATCGCGGGTTCCCACCCGGGAATACAAGCAATTCCCACGTGGCGAGAAAGTGAGCCGATTGGTTGGCGGTGGGAAACGCCTGTCTCACGACGCGTCGAGGATTCGCCGGTCCACTAAAAGGGGACGGACCAACGAGTAACTTGGATTAGAAACTCAGCGAGTGAGTTTAGTTCGTGCTGGGGCTCGAGAGCTGTCGCTCCGTAATCGAGTCAGGTCGTGGGATTCCGAGGGACGTCCCCGTAATCGGGACGTAATCCCACGAGCCAGCCAACTCCCGAGCTTGGATAAGCTAACACCCGACCACCTCCTTCCCAACCCCGTACAGGGGAAGTTATCATTTCGCAGTATCGTTTTTCTTTGTATTTTCATTCGTTTCAAAAGTATTAAATTGTTTTGTTTAAAAATAATTCCCAAAGTCAACTGAATTAGTCGTCGACGGCCAAGGGAAGCAACTTCGTCTCCGGCAAGACCCGCCCAGCTTCCCACAACGAAGCCCGTCACCCCATCCGGACCTGGCAGTCTGGACGGCGCAAGGTGACCAGAGGAACGAAAGAACCCGTACTGTAGGGCTCCCATATTAAAGGCCGATTCCAGCAACAAATATTCCTTTGACTTCTGTCGAGATTGAGTCTTTCATATGAGCATTTTGAGTATATAATCTCTGTTCTATTTGTTTACCTAACACCCGCTTGAGCTAGATTTTTTCCAAAAGCGCTCCAAAGAGAGTCGAAAAGTGCGCCATCTGAGATCCGAGAAAGGAACTGGAATAGCATCTATCGTGTGCCCGCTATTGTTCTGTTTAAATAATCATATACGAGAACTTTTTATATACATTTGTTAAGTACTGAAAATGATAAAATTGCTACTAAGTTGAGCACGGGAAAGCTGAAGGGACCCAACCGGAAAGCTTTCGAGGTATGTTTTGTTTGTTTGATTTTCAATAAAACGGCTGTATGCTGAGGTCCTCAAACCTTTTTGTTCATCTTGAGTGTTACGCTAGCTATTTCCTTAATAACTTTTTTTTTCGTCAATAAGACTTGTCAAACCCTGCAGCCTCAAGAATGACCACCTCCCTTAAGCTACTCAGATAAAGTTATGCCAAAAACAGTCTCATCAAATCTACCGATGAAGAATTACTAACATGATCAGAAAAGCTAGTGCCTTGTCTTTTCATTTCACAAAACTTTTCGAATGACTTGGTGTTCCGATTTGATTTCAGATAATCCAGTCTTTTATGAATCGGAGTACACACCCTTCGCCGCAGTCGGGCAATCTTCTTGAGAAGCTGCTCCTTCTCTTCTTCCATGTGTCCGATGTCCTTGCGAACCTCCTGCGTATTGAAGCCGCTTCCCTTGAGAGCCTCGCTTATCTTGTGCACCTCCTTGAATTGTTCCATCAAGGCCTCATACTGAAAGGCACGAGGGAAACGTCATACGTTTTCATTCGGTCTAGTAATGGAAAGTTTCCCCGGTTATAGACAAAGTACATGGCGCTCGCAATGAAAGAGAGCCATGTCTTTCGGTTCGGGTAAATAAAAAATATGCATCGCAGAAAGCTCAAGCTCCGCGAGAATGTTACGGTAGGTATTAGGATAGAACGCGGAAGTTTGAGACCATGGCGTTACCTGGCTCAAAATTAATTGATAAAAACAGAATTTATCACTGAGCCGACGCATATCTGAGACAAATGTCTCCAAACCAAGAAATGGCATTGTGAACGTATGCAGGACATATATAAGTGAATTACACTTGTCAGCAAGGAAGTGAATATTTTTCCCCTGACAAATGTTTTTACTACTGAAATATAACCTACAGGCGCCCAGAATGTCAGTTCTTGTTTTGACGATCTTCGAAAAATTTCGGGTCCTTTCCAAATCGCAGAGATCTCGCAGAGATCGAGCTTTCTGCGATGCTTAGTTTATTTACTCTAGGTGATAAACATCAATTTCTGTTCTCTGGTACGCCGCGTATATCTGAAAATTCCTATTTTGTGTCCGGCTTCTCAAAGTATGTCGCTGGCGTGAAATCGCAATGCATAAATGTTTTAGCTCTTTCTGCGCCAGTAAAATATTTATAAAAGCTAGACAGTGGATATTCTATCAATTTACGCTTGAGAACGCTCTCCTTTCTGTTGTTTCTTTTTTTCCTTGGGGAGGGGGAAGGCGGTTGAACATGCCAGCCCTAAAAGAAATTTTGGGACGAAAAATGATTGAAATCAGAAACAAACGAGACACATTTTTTTAATTATTTTACAATACTACTGAAATTTGTGAAGCAACATATATTTTCAAGCTCTTTTTGTTCGTGATAATTTTGAATAGGTTTGTGTATGTGGCTATAAAAAAATACTATTTTCCGAATTCATTTCTTGAGACGCCCATTAAATGGAATAATATTCCCTATCAAATGTGTACATCGAGGACAATTACGTTCTTTTTTTCCTGATTACCTAGATATATTGAATAACCTCCCCACAATGATGCCATGAGGCAATTTAGGTACAACTCAAGAAAATAAAGATGTCAAACTGTCGCATTCAAGGGACGCTATTAGAACACGCGCTGCTATATACAGCTCGTAAACTAACGCTTTTAAGGCATTTTAGACGGCCCGCGAAAATCGGTTTCCCAAAATACCGCGCTGCAATTTACTGCAGAAGTGCAAGAAGGCGGTGGAGTTTACAGTGAAAAATCAAGGAATCAACACACCTCGTTCAAAGAAACAAAACAAAACATAAACCTGCTGTGGGCCGTCTACGCCACCACCTTGCAGACGATGCACGCGTAATAGGAAGTGCTGCCGAAGGATGGCGCACGCCGCGTAGAGGGAGCGCCGGTCAAGTCAGGTTTTTGGGCGGGATCATCCGCTGGTATAACCTGATTCAGCTGGTGCTCCATCGACGCTGAATATGCCATCTATCGGCAGCACCTCGTACCCCGCATGCACCGCTGCGAGTTGGTGGCGTAGATTGCCCAGAACAGGTTTCTCTTTTTGTTGTTCTTCTTTTGAACGAAGTAGGTTAATTCCTTGATTGTTTCAGCGTAAATTTCTACCACCTGCTTGCAACTCTGTAGCAAATTCCTGCGCGATAGACTGAGAAACCGATTTTTGCGGGCCATCTAAATTGTCTTAAAAGCGCTAATTTACATGTGTGATACTAACGATCGAGGACTTAGATTGCACAGACGCAGATTGCATATGCAAGGACAGACGTAACACGTTCAAATTATCTCAAACGTAGTCCCAATAAAAAGTTCCTAGACAATGTCGAAATGAAGTATCAAATATAAGCCTCCCGTAGCAACTGCCACCTTTGGGCTTCTCTAAAATCCAGATGACCTACTGACCGTATGCTTGTAAGCTAAGGTTCACCTGAGAATAAAGAGCGACAAGGTCAGCGTCTCCTTCCAGTTCAGGGTGGAGCTCAACCCTGACAAGAAAACGAGCCAAGTAGGCCCGTTTTCGCAGCTCAGGCATTCGTCCCAAGGCCCATTCTAGGATCGGGTGCAGAGCCGCCTTGTCTCCTGATACAAGTCCTTGACGGAAGGTGGTCCTGCAAGAAATGTTTATTCACGTGGTACGCAAAAATGTGCTTATTTTTCCTTTCTAGTAAGAGCGAGTGTAGGTTGAGTCATGTTAACCCATTCATTGGATCGCAAGCTTCGTCAATAAAAAATAACTTAAAGAGCCCTCTCTTCGGCGGAACATTCAAAGCATTTAGATGACAAGAGGCCATGAGAAAGGTATTTTCACAAAAGTATTTTGAATGTCTGTTAATCACGATAGTTTATCAAGAAGGTTTATCGTATAGTGCTTCAAAATGCGAAGCTCGGTTCATGTTAGCGAAACAACATTAGTTAACGTGAGCGGTGCGCTTGTATTTACGTTAGTTCGTAAATGCAGGCGCAGTCGATACTTGAAAGATATAAGCTGAAGACAGCAGCACTGGCCCCATTTTCATCTCACAAATGAACGAAGCCGTCGGTTCTACAGCTTCCACTAAAACGTGCGCGGCAGTCATCCACTATATGAGAGGAAGATGCACGCTTACGCGGAGCACTTAGAACAAACAAAACATCTCAAAGATTATCGAAGGATTTAAAACAAGCTAGCAGCGTTAGAAACAAATATTTGTTAGGTGCGTACCTTCCTAACAAAAGCAGATTTTTGAAGTGGCGGTACGTTCTTTTTTTATATAATTTTACTACGAACAGCATTAACGTTCGCAGGTGATGCTTGTTTGCCTAATGGCTGCGGTTTTGTAGCTCAGTAATTTTGACAACAAAAATGCGCACAAGAGTCCAGTGCTGAGCAGTTTCGTAACACAAATGATCGCAATACTATCTTAGAGGCGTTTTCGAGTATCTGTTTCTCCGTATCTAAATGCTTTTGAAAAAATGAATTTGTACTCCAGTAGTAAAATGCATTAAGGGTATCGCTTGTATCGTGATACTGTCTTGGGCATAGGATTCTCGTTGCATTAGTCGTCGAGAATTAACTGTCTTTTTTTACGATAAATTGGAAATTATCGGGGAAGTCTGGCTGCCTGGTATATCACCGTAACCGATGTTTAATAAAAACAACAAAAATATACGAAGGTAGTTCAAAGAGCGGTCAGTTATAAGAGTAGCCGGATTAGATTCTCCCAGAAAGCCCTCTACTCTTTCCGCTTTAGCAGAGTGAACGCTGTAAAGGAAGCAGGTGGAAGGAGTAAATCATCAGTTAGGGTTATTTACTCATTTTAGTCCTGCGCTGTCATCGCGCGACGCAGTAGAGGCTGGTTGCACTATCCTTCCACGGGGCGCGGTGCCGCCGGGGCCCAGAGGCGCTCCGATAGCAAACCGAAACTTGAAAACCCGTCGAATTTGTGCGGTTTTTCAGAAAGCCGTAAAATGCTTCGCGTGCCTTCTATCGTTCTGCAGTTTGTTGACTTAGTGTTTTTTTACGATGCTGAGCAATTTTCTAATTCAAACCATGCCCTTAAACACAGTATTAAAAAGTTAATTACGCAAAAATAATTCACAATTTAATTATCTCGGACTTTAATAATTTTCCTAAATGGGCCTCTGGCCCTCGGCCAAAACGACACAAGCCTTTTTTCGTTGCGATGAGTAGTTTTAGCAGGAGCGATTTGGCCTGAGTTTTCTGAAACACCCTGTATATATATATATATGTATATATATATATATATATATATATATACACATATATATATATCTTTATTAACGAGGTGTCATTTTTTGGTTTTACTAGAGTTGTCTTGATTTGCTCTGGTGGTCACGGCAAAATTTAGAAGTTTGCGACCTTTTATTATAACTTCATATTTTGTAGTTCCACTAACTCGAGTTACTGATCACAATTCCCAGACACTAAAGAATATTTTCATACAGTTTCATCTTGATTCGCAATAAAAATAAAAAGCTGTGTGGATTTGCAAATTTTTGTATCATATTTTCTGGCATTACCTTTTTCGTGGACATTTTTCTTTCTTTTTTGATTCCTCGATATAGCCCGGCACAAGACAAGATCAGTTTAAAACTCTGAACATACACATCACTTTGTTTAAGTGAAGATATAATTTTATGAAAATGTCGAATAAAAACTAAATAAATAAAACGCTAGCTATAATTCAGTTCGGTCATTCACCTTCCCCCCTTCCTCTCGCCCCATCCCCATCTTTGCCCACGTAAACACCTTTTTCTGTAACTATAAGAAAACTGAAGTTCAATGCTTCTTAAACGGTGAGGCACTGAGATTTTGCGGTTCTACTATTGGATAGTAATGTTCAGTTTGAAACAGTCGCTGTTTTCGCTGTTTTCCACAATTTTTTAAGCTATTTTAATTGGTGTCCGGTGTTCTCGAGGGAAGCTAGCCCGAATGACTGTATTTATGCAGTTAGGTAAGGCTAGGTTACGTGTAGGGAAATTTGTGACAAAGCTTTGGTCGTTGCCAATCTGTTCAATAAAACCTTTATCTTTATATTATATATTATTAGATAAGGGTCACATTCAAAACTATGCAACTTACAAGGGAATGTTTTCCGGTGGTTTGTACTTGAGTATTCTTAGAAAGTTTAAGGTCTTCATAGCCAGTTGTTCAGGATCTTCGTTGCGTACGTCGGCTTGCATCTGAAGATACGAGGAGCCGAGCGTAATGAGTGAAAAGATTCACATAGTGACACGTTTTTGGCAGGATTTTAGAATGTGCAAGGTCTGCGTATTTAGTAACTAGATGTGGTCAAGGATTGGTTTGGGCTGATACCTTGTTCAGAAAGATAATGTCCGAGCTAACTGGTCACTTCAGGGTAACGAACTCATCGCGTAATACCGTCACGAATATAAAACTTGTCACGTCAGCCATCACGAACTATACTGTCTCGAGATGAAGTGGTTATGGTGAATTACCTTGATTTCCGCCTGCCGTAAATCGTGAAGGGGATTAAAACAAATTGTGATCTTTCTTGCTGAGAGTCTATGATCTTGACTATATCTACATATATTAATCAGTTGTTCACTAAGAGCATTAAGGAGGTACTGAAATATAACCTTTTACCTATTACCTTCAGAAATCAGCTAATTATGGTCAGCGAAGTCTGCTAATGATAATCGCAGTTTGTATTTTGGACGGAAGGCTATATTTTTCGTTACAAATGGCGGATTCCAGCGAGCACTCGGAGAGCAGCCATTGGAGAGCGCGATGTGTCTCAGGAGATCCAGCACCTCCAGCGCGTTCCTAACGTCACGTTACCCTTCACCAGCAAAGCTGTAGTGGTTATGAGCTTCGACACTTGGTGGCGTCAAAGCGTTTCAACCCGGGCGTTCGGGAGGCCCACCCCCGCTCCCCGCAGGAGTTGAATAGGCGCGGGAGAGAAGGCAAATAAATACGGTTCGACTTGATCGAACCGTATTTTTTCAGATTCAGTACTTCAGTACTTCAGCGGAGCGGCGCTGATTTTATGGGTAGCTTTGGCATGACGGAATTCGGTTCATTCGTTTTAAATAATGTTCTGCTTTCTTTTGGAGCAAACAATTGGCGTCTTGAGGTGTGGCCAGAATGTGTCTGACATTTAGACAATAAAGTAAGCGCTAACATTTCGTGAATTTTTTTGCAGTTCCCTTTCACGCCAAAACGCTGAGGAAACAGCTTGGATAACGGCATAATAGTGTGCAAGGCATATGTATCCCACATACCTTTTTTATCTTATTTATATTCTCTCTCTCTTTCTCTCTTTGAAGACAAAAAAGGGAATAACGAGGAATACCATCAACTTGTTTCTCCAGTGTTATATAATACGTGGAATGCAGTATCTACGAAGCGACCCTTTAAAATTTTTTAGAAGTTATCAAACTTTCGGTTCCTAAAGTGAAGGAGATATCGTTTATTAGTTTTCCGCTAAATTGAGCGTATAACTTGACGTCCCGTGACCTCAGACCCCCTGACGTCATGGTATCATGTTATACCACGACATGACACTGTGAACTGCTCCACGTGACGAGACGTCGTGGAGGTGTCAGGTTGTGGTTTAACGTGATACTTTGATGCCGTGGTGTCAAGTCGTGAGGTCAAATAATGCAATCACCTCACTCCACCTGAGATAAGATTACGTCGATTTTCCCTCCAAATGTAACGAGAAACCGCACGGATGTACGGACGGAAGGCGGGCACACGGACGAACGAACGGATAAATTTCCGGGAAATATAAACTTCGTTCAAAAGGCCTCTCATGCACTAAACAATAAATATAGAGAAATTATGATATGAATCTTTTATGTCTCGAAACAACATTTTACTAAAAAGGCAGTGTACCCGTTTGTTTACCTTGGGATCCAGCTCGGCGAACACATCGCTGAGAATCTGCAGAAGTTGATCTGGCCTGAGTGCATCGAAACTAATTAGGTTAAACTTCTTGTTGAACGGCGCCTTGTTTAGCTCCTGTATCACGAATTTGAGTTGTTCGCTCATGTTCAACGCCAAAACGTAGAACCCCCAGTCTCAATGCCAACAACTCGTCCCCTTCTCAGATAGCCACGGAGTCCTCACGTTGAAGTCTGTTGCCACGACTACCGGCCCACGAGTTCGGTTGCCATGACTACCCGAGTGGCGTTGGGACCTCGTGCGGTTTCCATGCCAACGGGCTAACATTGCCGCCTCCTACGTGGGGCGTTTTGTAATCAGAAGACTGGCGCTCCGGGTGTCGCCAATTATTCATGGAACCAACATTTGGGCGGCGCTTCCGCTACGGCAATAATGGTGTGTGTACCTTTATCGCCGCGCACGATGTACGCCGGTCGTGTCGGCTCACTAATTAAAGTTGACTGCACAGTTGGTCTCGGTTGACTGAGGAGACATTTGCAGAAAGATGATCATATCCGCGTACCTACACAACGGTCAAGGTTACACCTGAAGTCGCCTCGTCGGGTATTTTTCCCTTCCTCGATGCGCGCTAATAACCTGGAATAAATTAAAATGCATCCGCTTGATCAAACCAGCATTTTTTACTTCGTGTAATATATGAAAACGTTACATGCAAAAAGGGTAATGGTTAAACATACAAAGATTTTAAAAAATTGGGCGAAAGTGAAGTGGCGAAATGAGAAGGGCAAAACAGCAACTTTGATGTAAAATACTTTACTATACCCAGAGAGTAGACACACATTCCAGGTTTCTCTTCACAAAATCAGCTCACAGATGTATGCAGTAATTATGACGTTTATGACGTTGCACAAGCTTACGAACGCTTTTCCCTAAAAGGGCTGTTATACTCGAGTTTTCAGTCCTTCCACCGCAGGCTCAACAAGACTGTCAGTCCGCAGAGATATTCTTTTTTGACCCCGATTATTAAGGGTATCTGTCTGCCCTTCCCGAAGCTTCATTGAGTTTTCAGCGTAAGCATCAAACATCTGTGGCGAGTGATGGTCTTGCTGACATTTGATGGAATGCGTAAAAACCCCGCCGGTAACCTTCTTCGGGGAGAGCATCCAAAATCTTGTGGAACATCATAATAACTGCAATTATATGTGCGGTATCCAATGGAAGAAGCGGCCAGAGTATGACTACTGATTTTTTTGTATACGCAAATATTTTCCATCGCTTATTTTATCTGGTTGATCGGAACTTGGAAAAAAAAATACAGCCCTCGGAATAACCCTGCCTCTATATAAACATGCACACAATCTAGAAACGATCTTGTGGATTTTAATGTTAATTTATAACAAATTAGAAGGGAATATATAACAAATTAGAAAGAACGTTTTCGCGAACTTCTGTGCAATTGAGTGAGTAGTTAAAGACGTGAACTTTACAAAGAGACATAATGTAGCACCTTGACACACTATGTCCTTACAACTTCTTTTAATGGACAAGTACACAGCGGTAACGGCTGGTTACCATTACAGGCAGACTTTGAATAGTGGTACAAGTTCATGATTATGTACGTATGTGGAAAGGTCAACAGCACGGCATGCGAATGAAGTAACATGGCTGGTTTGGAGAGTTTTGAAACATCGACAACAAACCAAATCAGGAGGATTTAGCGTCTTCCTTGGAGAACAAAGCCCAATGCAGAGATCACAGAACACAATAGCAAGGTTGATATTTCACGAGTTTTTAGATAAATATTTACCTGTCAACCATTTTTTAAGAGCCAGAATGCTTATATTTTTATTTATGGCAATTTCAACGCAAACAGAATTTAAAAACACATGTGTCCGCTTTTTTTTAATATTTTCAGCATCATTTCGCAATGACAAGTATATTTGTGTATTCAGTCCTGTTTAGGCTACCTCAAGCAATTTCTTGTTTTACTTATGTTCCTTTTTAAATCGAGATACAAAGTACAAAACGAACAGTATGAGTTAACGTTGTTGTTTTTTTCTTATAGGCTACGCAGAATAAATTGCCCCACCCACACAATCTGTGTATGCGCTAAGCTTTGCAGCGTGCGTTTTGGCGAGCCACCCTCCCTATACCGCTTTTTTATGCTTTCCACAGGTGTTCAAATTGCGTGGTACTTGCTCTGTTAATAGCGTAACGCTGTGTTCTGTAATTCTACTCTATTTACCAAAGTCCTGGTTGTTCTGCAACCACACCTGCAATTGTAGCTCAGTTATTTATTGAGTTTCGAAAGTAGGACTCTATGTATGTGTACAAAACAAAAAGGGACTGGATAATTGCGCCAGGCTGTTGCAATTCCAGGGCGTGGTACACACGTAAGAGCGCACAGCAGCGAGTTATATTTGTCTAAGGAGCGTGAATAAAATCCTGAAGGGGCCTTAAAGGTAGAAGGAGGATCGCCTGCTGGAACAGTTTCAAACTAAGGTAAGCATGCGGTCATCAATCAATATACAGGGTGTTGATTTTTTATTCGAACAAATGTATTTGAAAGGACGACGTAAAACGTTCACTAATGCCGTTGTCCAAATGAGTTATTTGGTCATGCGAGCAACAGATAGGTGGTTACACGCACAAATCGGAGTATTAAAACTTTTACGGATTTCTTTTTTTTTCATGAAATATGCTCAAGTTAAATTTACACACCTTGTGTTGTCAGCTCGAGTGCTGGGGAAGCTAGCGAGGCGACAAAAGTGAGGAAGTCCCAAGGCACATAATTTAACGGTATGTTCGATTATATGTGGAAACATAACTTTCCAAGCCAATTTGTCTGTTCTCTAGACCGTTTCGTATGACGGTCGCCATGTTGAAATATGACGTGGCTGGGTTGCGCGACCAAAATTAAGCAGATGGTCTAAAACATAACTACAATAGAAAGTACGGCCATTAAAAAGTACAACTATTGGCACAAACACCTTGCATCCCAGCGCCTTCCAGTCGGAAATTTGTGTGATTTGCTATTTTGCCCAAACTCAACTACATCAGAAATTAACATGGCGGCCGCCACGAAAAAAAAAAACGGTCTATACGCCTTTCCAGTGCTTATCGCACAGACAAGAATGCAGAGCCACTGGGTTGTGGACGCAGGAGCGGTATTCATTATTTGGCAGAACAGGGCCATTGCGCATGCTCGGAATGCGTTCCACAGCCCAGTTGACGAAGATAGCGGCGTCCAGAAGGCGATTATTTCAATGGACCATACGGAGATACACTGAGGGAGAGGAGGATCGAGAGCGCACGGGGACGTTGGAGCGCCGAGCTCTGACTAGAAGCATAGTGGGTAGACGCGAAGGCTTTGTCTCTCGATCTACTCACTGTTCAAACGCGTTTGAACGTCAATCGCCGGTGTCAGGCATTCGAACGCGAGAGAATGCGCGAGGAGCAGGTGATGCTCTTGTTTGTTCTTGGTTGAAGAGAGACAATGTATTGCCTTTGAGACTACCCTCTGATCCTTCCAATCAAAGGTAGGCACCCCGATGTCCTCCGGCGCTCCCATCTCCTCCTCTCCCCCCGTTTCTACCTGTATGCAGTAGAGCGGAGGTTTAATTGGCCAACAGACTTACATTTTATAAATTTTTGTCCAGCTCATATGTCAAAGAGAGTTTATACCGTTGACTAAAGATTACGCACGTTACGATCAGTTTTTTTTTTTTCTTTTTCTTGTGTTTTTCTGCTATTGGTCGAGTCGTGAGGCCTGCGAGTTAGGTGCCGGTGGAAGCCTGGTCCTGCCGCTGTGCCGGTCGACGGCCCTCGGCGTTGACGTGCTGGCAAGCGTAGGCGGTGGGATTCTCGCAGTCGTAGTCGTTCCACATATAGCCTAGCACGTCGATCAGCTCCACGCAGATCTGGGTTCCCCCGCTGTTGTTGGGCTGGCCTTGGGGCACCCGAAAAATAGAATTCGAATGTCATCGCGCGGTAAATCTACGCGGTAAATCTACGCGGATAGTACGAAGGTTTAGGCAACCAAGATCGAACATCTACTGTTTTTGATTACATGTAATAAAACGTTGATTTTTTTCCGGAACAAAAGACAGTCAAAGACGAGATACAGATCAACGTTACTAAGTCAAAGTCAGTTTACAGGATTTTAAAAACGCCTGGCACAATTTTGGGGTGCGTCCGCTTAGTGGCGTTTCTGCGCTATCGGCCGTATCAGCCCAGGCCATATCGAAAGAAGCGACAGAACCGGTGGAACATTGGATGCCTATTCACTATGATGGAAGTCGATTCCACAGGATGAGTCAAAGTGATCGATGCCTGCTTGAAGGGACCACATAAACTGGTTTCTGAACGCATCGATCTAAGATTCTACACAAAGGTGACCGAAGAACGTGCGTTAAGGTTCAAACTTTTTTTCCTAACAAACTTACCAGAATACAATGTTAGAAATTAAGAACTTGAAATCTCTACCCACGGTGGCCATATCATAATTAAAGGCGCCTGATTGGCCTAACAGCCGACAGATGGTGGCACGTAAGGTCGCAAGCGGCCACAACGGGCGCTTCCGGCGAGCCCGGCGATAACACGCAACGTGTCTGAGCCAGAAGCGATGCGCTCTGTGTTTGCACGAATTATCAGGATATGATTATTTTGTTTTACCAATTGCACACGAAAAGTGAAGATAAAATGAGAACAACAAAACAAATATGCCATCTCGTTTGTTTGTTTTTTATTGTTTGCTTGTTTTTTTTTTTGTTTTTTTTTTCTATACCTATTTTTTTGCTGCGTGTCGTCATCTGCTTTCCTCACGCTGGTTGTTGCCGCGTCGATTTTTAATGTGTTAGCATTGAGACGCTCATTTTGACGAAAATCCTGCGGTGTCTTTCGTTCGTTAGTGGTCGCGTTCAACGCTCCCATTGCTCCGAAGCGCTACGGTAAACACGCGACAACCTCTCCCTGTCTCCCCGGCGCTGACAAACTGACAGACACTGCCGAGTTTTCGTCAAAGCGAGCCTTTTGTTTTCGGCGAAGTCCCACGCACAGCTGGAGTGGAGCCAGAAAGAAGGAGGCGCCGCGCGACACCTCCTAGGTAACAAAGCCGAAGTACTGAATGAGATGGCTTAATCAGAGAAGGCCAACGCTGGACACAGATCGGAAACGAGTGCTGCGTCAGCGCTTGGCTTCGATTCGAATTTGAGCTCAACGTTGACGCAATCGTCCTGTCCAATCTGCACCCAGCGTCGGCCTTGTCTGATGATGCCATCTCATTCAGCACTACGGCTTTGTTACCTAGGAGGCGTTGCGCCGCGGCGCGGTGGAATGCGGGCGTGCTCAGTCGTCCCTCTGCCACTGACGGTTGTTCTTCGCTCTGGGTTTTCGTAGTAGCGGTGTGTGGGCTGTTATGTGTGTCTGTAGTTAAAACGGGTTGTACGGATCTGGTTCTTTACACAAGTATTATGGATGACCATATCCAGGGGCGTTGACGTCACACACGTCCCTCTTTGGGAAACGCTAAAATTGACCCCTGAATGAGGCCAAAAAGAGGAAGCACACAATAAAGAAAGCAAAAGAGAAAGCCAGAAAGAAAAAAGTGAAAGTGTCAGAGTTAGCGTTTCCCAGAAGTGGACGTGTGTGTCGTTTCCCAAGGGTCATGCTAGCGCATGCCCGTAGAATTCACCAATGAATCTTTCTGACATTTTTGTCTGCAACTTTTTCGCCTGCTGTTTTGGGGTGCAAATCATTTTCATCGTGCGCTTAGCTCCCAACGAGCGAGTGAAGGTTTCTCTCTGTTAAGGGGAGTGCCAGACGACGAAACAGGTCCGCCGGAGTTTTCAGGCAGAGTCTCGGCGGCAACCTCCGCCATCCCCTACAATTCTACGTTGGGTGAGGCGCCTCAACGAGGGGGAAACATCCGAAACAAGCCACCGACAAAAGTGGCGTCATCATCGAAGCTGTCGTAGAAAAATTCGGTACTCCTTGCCTCTTCTCGACGAGGAGAGCACTGGAATCTGTCGACTGTTGCGCATATATCAGACACATTTGGTTAGCACATGGCCTCTTTAAATAGGAATTTCAAGTTTTTTTTTTTTTTAATTTCTGTTTTTTTAAGCAGGTAAGATTTTTAAGCTAAATATTTATACTAATAATAATATACGTTGGCCGGTCAGATCCGTGCCAAACTTCTGGCGTCGTACGTTTATAAACCAATTTATGCTGTCCTTTTTAACAGCCATCGATCCTTTTAACCCACCCTGCATTGTTTTTTTTTTTTATAGTGAATACGAAGTATACGCAAAGGTTTGAGCAAGAAAGTCGTTCGAAAACGCTATTTCAAAGTTGCCCATGGCAGCAGTGCTGCTGGTGCCGTTAGGAACGGTTTCTGCTCGTAACTGCTTGCGCGTGGGCAACAGAGTCAAGTTATAGTTCTAAGAACGTTGGTACAGATCACGAATGGACAAAAACTAGGTGGTTAGTGCTGAGTCGTTTTAAACCATAAACGTTATTCTCACCGTCTCTTAATGCCGGAGCAGTTATCTCAACTTTTTTAGCAAAGCTCCTAGACCTAAAGTATACGTGGCTGTCATTAGTTCCGCATGTGCTCTGCAACAGTAAATCTGTATTCGCGGGAATATACGAAATACGGGCATGGCATTTAATGTTGTTTTTTTTACATTAAAAATAAACGGGTGAAAAAACAAAATATTGGGTCGAAGAGTGTGCAGTCGGAACATCGTTCAGATCGAACCTCATGCTTGTGAGCTGGACCGTCATTCTTAAAAGACGCTGCGTCTATTTCATATTTAAACCTGTATATACTACAAGGACTAACAAACGTTCTAACTCAAGCAAGTTTTAGTTGATAAAATATAAGTGGATTAATGAAGCCATTTCGCACCCAGTTTATCGCATTATTATTTAGCGATCCTATATTTTAATTGTTTTTTCTTATTGCAAACGGAATTTTAACGGCAGAGAAGTTGGTATTTGTATAGCCCCACCCAATACTTTACCGGGGGAAATGCATTCCATTGCATTCATCTCCGTTAGACTGGGCGCCTTCAGCGCCGAATTCTCCCCTATCACTGTGAACAATTCGTGTCCAAAAGAACTCATGCGCATCACACTCTTCATGCAGTCACGTGATCACATAGTGCCCAGAAAGAGGTGCGTTATCGCCGACGCACCGAGATACCGAACTCGCTGAGATAACCGAGACGGCTGTCTCGACTGGCGCTCGAGTGTTCACGACGATAAATAGGGGCAGCCACCCCTCCCTGTTCAAAGGCGTCGAGGCCAACAGAATTTTCACTGTGTGAAACTCGTTTCCCCAATAAAGTATGGTACTGCACCAAACACTTTGCAAGGGAATACGTATTACTCTGCGAAAATTCAATTGCCTTGACTCCGACATATTTTGCGCCGTTTGAACGACTGAACGCCACAGCCTCGGGATTGTCCCTTTTTAATTGGAAGAGGTGACTGCCCCCATCGATCGTCGAGAAAAAACCTCGAGACAGCGGGGAGCGCCGTCTCTGCTGTACACGGAGAATCCGGTGTCTTGGAGCGTTCGCGGCAGCCCTCACCCTCGGCGCAGAGCGAAAGTGCGACAGCCTTTACAGCCCGATGCTCATACGTTCTTCGGATTTGGTCTGTCCACGCCGATTGGGCGAGAATTTGGAGCTGGAGACCAAAGTATTTCGCCACGCCGTCGTCACTGCTCCTTTCCCATCCGCGTTTTCCCATTATGCCCTCACTGCACCAGCAGCGCGTCACGTGAAAACATGAGAGCGCACGTGCCTCAAACACCTCTAATAAACTGCTGGCTAACAAATAGACATCTTGCAAAATCCCACAAGCGCTACGGCCCGCACTCGAGAAATCATGAAAACGGTGTACCTTCAGTTCCCTAGCGATCGGTAACTTCCACCCATTCCATGCTTACACAATGCTGAGGGTAATCCGGAGCCATCCTGAACAAGCGTCGTGTAGATTGCAGAGACCTGTCATATCAGTTTTAAAGCTTCTCGGCAATGTCAGCGTTGTTGATACTGTCCGTGCAATCCACAATTCAACTTGGCTGAGCTGCACAAATTTCTTACAATATTATCATTCTCGTGATCGATATTTTTTAACAGGAATTGTTAAAAAAGCACATCATTCACAAGGGCCAAAATCAGGGTTTTTCTCGCAGCCACAGGGACAGTTTCTGGCATTTTTAGCGTTTATAAGTAAATATTGTTGTCTTGGTAGTTACATAAGAATGATAATATTGTAAAAGATTTCTGCAGCTCAGCCATGTTGAAGGGTGGATGGCATGCACTGTATCAAAAACGCTGACATTAAGGAGAAATTTTTAAAGTGATATGACAGGTCTCTTGACTCTACCCGATGCTTATTCAGGATGACTCCGGATTACACTCAAGAGTGTGTAACGATCGTATTGGTCGAAATTACCGATTACTAAGAACGCCGTTCCCATGATTCCTCGAGTGCAGGCCGGGACGCTTGAGGGATTTAGCAAGCGATCTATTCCGGCGTAGAGTAAACGGGAAGATACACAAGACCGAAAACAATAGAAGGAAAAAATTACGTCCTTTTTTTCTAATGACGCCACAGCTTGGAATAACAAAATTGGGTCGTACTGCTACCCAACTAGAAACGAAAACTAGACGTTGCAACAAGATAAATAAAAATATTTTTCCCCGAATGTAACAGTTGCTTTTCCGGTCGCAATCCAGATGTGCATTTGTATCGCGAATGCATTCTGTGCAGGGGACATTTGGGCTGTAGCGCAAAAGAGCGCCTTCCATGTTTAGCTAAGCTACTTTGCTGAGAAAATTACAGGAACTAGTTCTACCAGAATTATGTACTATGGATCTCTTCTACCGAAGAGCCATTCAAGTTCCAAATGCTTTATTGAATTCGGATACAAGAGAAAACCTGTTAAATCGACTCATAACGTTAACAATACGTATTTGTGCGCACTTGAGAAACTTCGATGTCTGCGGTCCAAGACTGTCCACATGAAAAATTTCCGATTATTAACTGACGGTGCCTGATCATAAAAATCTTTCTGAGCGAAAACCCTGCTGTGGAAAAAAATTATACCAAGTTGATGATAAAGCTAGTAAACAGGCGAGCTGGTTTATGTTGCACATCGTTAAGACCGCAGACGACGGAGATTGAGACGAGCGTCCTGTCCCCATTATTTCCGTCGTCCCCGCTCTTTTAACGAAGTTTATACCAAGTTCGCGGATAAACAAAATAACAAAAAAAAAAAAAACGCGGCGTTTTATTTTGTATAAATGCGCTGATATCACATCAATGCAATCTACTGAAGCAGCCCAGGGTCAGTTTGCTGGTGAATGCCGGTATCTCTCCTCGCAGTTACAAAAAGTCGCAACAGACATTTTGAGGTAATGTGAGCGGTTCCATGGGGAAAAGCGCCCAGCGTTCCAGTCGATGCCATCGAGCAGACGTAAGCCTTGAATCTAAGCCTTGAGTGTCGCTGCTAAAGTACACAAATGAGGTCCCCTTCCCGTACATTTCAAGCCTTTTTACCCTCTGCACGCTATATCGAACTTGAATAAAAGAGGCGAGGACGGACTCACGACAGCCATTTGCGTGCAGCGCTAGGCGCATTTCCTCTCTCCCCCAGGGAGCCAGTCACGTGACGTGAAATCCTCTCCTGGGGCTATTTTAACCGCCAGAAGGAATACCCGCATTAACCAGTAAACCGACCCAGGCAATGGAAAAGCCCATGCAAAGTTACGACTCGAAACTAAGAACTCAATTAAGTGGGGTGATCGTATTTTGGGCTGCTTCTTTAGGTGGCAAAGAATCTCTTCTCGCGAAATTGTTCCAAACATACAAACACTGGCATTTAGTTTAGTATTGTAGTGTTATACCCTAATTTAAGATAGCGTACCTTTGCCCCACCGCCGACTTGCCCCAGGAACTTGTTCTCCATTCATATACGTCGTATTGCCATCCAAGGTCTGGAATGCATGCGGTAACACTGGCGTTAGTATTCAGAATGTAGGGTAGAAGCGTGTATAATAGTAATTATAAAGTGCTCAGTTGAATGAGTATTTAAAGGAAAGTAATTTTGGAAAATATAGTTTTTCATAAGCAGATGGGAGCTATGAATTCCTCCTAAGTAGAGACGTCATTTCCATCTTTGAGCACAATTTTCACCGACTATGCCGAGGTGTCACTTGATACTCCTACCAACAACCCATTTTTGCTTTTCAAAATTGTTGACAACCTTTGTCAAATCATAAGTTGTGTTAAGAATTAAAGAGCCAATAACGTGTAAAACTAAAACATCATCTGATATTCGCAAGATAATCTGGTGACCACACGTGGATGTTCCAAAAATTAACCGTGGCAATTTAGGGTTTTAGGGAATATAATTAATTAAAAACTGGTATTTTATTTTATTGACTTAAAGTGGTTGCTACCTAAGGTATTGCCGCAAACCTCGTCTACCTAGTCTACCTGCTTATACAGTCAAAACCGTTTATGACGAACATACAGGAAACACTACGATCAGTTCGATATAGCAAGTAGTTCGATATAGCAAAAACCATTTACAACGAACTTCCACGATGCGTTCGTTGTAAGGCGAGAGCTTCTCTCTCTTTCTCATCTCTTCTCTTCCACCTTGTAACAGCGCGCTAAATTTTTTATTTTTTTAGCGTGCGTGCAGGGTGTATTTTTTTAGCTTTCTCCTCTTCTGAATCGCTTCTCTTCGCTTAATTTTGCTTGCAACTTGAGAATTTTGAATTTTCTTTCTTTCCTACTTCTTTTTGTGGGAAGGGACAGGCTAGAAGACGATTGTTTGCGCGTTTTTGGAAGCCCTCCCGGGGGGAAAAAGTTCAATATTCCCAACGTGTTGTTCGTTATAAACAGTATTTTTACGTGCATTTTTATTTAAATGTTCCGTGACTTTGATATCGACAATAATTCGCTGTACGTGGGTTCGTTCTAAACGGGTTTCACAGAACTACAAAGCTCAAAAACCAAAGTCAGTTGAATATAGTACAGCAAAATCTCCACTCAATAGTCTCAACACAGCGAGACCGCCTAGACATGACAAGCTCATCTAGCATCCTAGCTCACATATGCCTTACAATGAACACGTATTATAATTTGGACAGCTAGACAAGCCAAACTCTCAAGACGCGCACGATGGTTTCATAAAGTAAGGAAGATTTAGATGCTAATTTAGTGTAAAATAAGCCCAGAAACGTTGCATACTCGTTGAACCCCTATCCACATTCGCTGAATCTTGTTCTGGCGCATGAGCTTCACCAGTTCCTTGTGATCTTCTAGGGTGACCGGCATGGCCATGACCAAGTTCTCTTCCAGGCAGGCCCGCATGGACGCCATGAAGGTCGCCGAGGCCATGCGCACCACGAACCTGGCTGCTTGAAGAAAAAAAAAATCAAGTTTTAGACATTAATCATCAAACAGCTGTAAAAGACAGGACGTACCCGCCAGAGACCTCTTAGCTGCGGGGACTGACAGCATTAAATCGCCTCCCCATCAAGTAGTGTGGGCTCAGCACTATATGCATCAAACTGATATTGCACACCGAGGGGTAAATTTGAAACAATGCGGCTGCATTTGGATGTGCGCATTCTATTGGAAACGCAGCCGACCGTCACGTTCAATGTCGGCTTTCCTGGCATGCGCTGCCGCGCCACCCGGTAAGCAGTGCCCGAAGCTCAGGGTCAGCTTCGGCTTCCTTCCGAAGCACCTTCTCATGGGCAACTCCTTACTTCTGCTGCTAACGCTCCCGCTCAGCGTATATTCCGTTTCACTTTTCCGCAGCTGATGCTACGACACGATCCGATGTAGACAATCAAGCAGTGTCGAAAGAGAATCATCGCGATGCTCATCTGCTTTCGTGCGTTTGCTCTCACCAACTAAACCATCCACGCCCAGTGAATGCACCGCGATTCTTTACTTTCTTGTGTGTGGGATTCACTTATGCGATGATAGCACTATGAAAACCCGCAAAGGCGATGAGCGTCATTACCATGCACATTTGGCATTGCTTAAATGGACCATCGGCGTCAGCCGCGGTAGGACTTAGAGTGAAACGGAGTATATATGCGTTCCAGGATTTTTCTCTTAGCATCTGTTTTCTCCTACCTCAAATATCTTGTCAAGACATGCTCAAGAAGGGACACTACGCGCCCGTAGTCTATCCTACCTGCTGATAACATGCACATGATCACGTGACTCTGATGTAGGTACGGCAAGTTACCAATGAAGCAGCAATATCTGCAGATGTGTCAAGGGTAACTCTACCCTTTCCACTGCTGACACCTTATATCCGCCTTCCTGGCTCTACCTCCCCCCCTCTTTGAGGGGTAGCGATGCCACGCCTAAAATCAAGTTCGGAAGTTTTACATGTCAAATAACGAAGGCCATCTGGCCCACCCCAGTGGAGGACTGGGAATTAATTTCGACCATCTGGGGATTTTTCGACGTGCAACCGAAATCTCGGTTTTACGGTGCCCTCTTCGCATTAAGCCTCCGTCATATTGCGGGCGTCTCGGTTGATTCGAACCCGACACCTGGGATCCGCAGGCCGTCAAACCTAAGATTTTTTTTTGTTAGATTGTGATTCTGCATTAAATCATTCTTTGTCAATTCGCCCTCTTTTCACTTTGCGAAAGAACAGTAATTTGGTATGCATAGTTTTTCCTTGCTATCTCGAAATTTCCACATCGCCAGGTGGCTACTGTCCATGCACGTGCGCTTCGTGTCAGCTATGTTAGTCTATACTGATGTCTTGCATCGTTCCAAGCTTTCGTCCGGCTAATTTAACAACGCGTGCAGATTATTACAGATATACTAAGATAATTCGGTTTCTGTTCTACTACCTCTTTGACATTCAGCCTGCTGAAGTATTCGACGTCCACTTCCCATTCACCGTCGCACGCTTTTGGTACTTTGGAAGACATGTTTTAAAACACTTCACGTCTTTTTTTCTTTTTTATGCAATATAAGGGGGAGGTATAAGCTTAGTTGAGCAACTAAGGGAGTGGGTGAGAAAAATATAAAAAAGATGGTGAGGTCCGTGAATTTTCACGAAGAAGAGAGATCAAGCTGAAGTTAATATAAATAAATATAGGTGGAAAGCCTTTGATATTATAGCTTGAAAATAATGATCGATGGTAGTTCAACACTCTCTCAGATTAAAAAACGAAGAGCTCACGTTGTGGTGTGCTGGTGGTGCTGGGGGCGTTGGAGGTGCTGGTAGGGGCCTTGGCCGTTGTACTGAGTTCCGTTGTGTTGCTTTCAGTGGTACTAGTCTCAATGGGGCTTGATGACGTAGTTGTACAGTCTCCGGTACAAGAGACATCGCTGGTACAGGCAGGCAGATCTCCACGGCTTTCCTGCGTGCAAGGCAACATCCCCAGTGAGCGAGTTTCGTAGTGACAATAACCTCCACACTTTGTTTTCCGAAACGTATATAAATGCCAAAATAAGAGCCCCCATTCAGTCAAACAGTCCTGATAAGAATGTGCCTTGAATATGAGACTCTCTTCGGCATTCGGTTAGCGCTTTTACAGTTACTGACAACTTAAGAGACCGAAGGCGTGCCCTATTACGGTCACGTGATTCGTTATTCGACTTTCTTATCTGCTGATGCCGAGGCCTCATTGGTTGCTGAGCGATAATTGTCGTTCGTGACTCACCGTGCAATGTCTTTCTTCAGTTTTAAGTGACCACAGAAAGTAGGTGCGCGTGTCGTTTGTTTTATCGTTGGTATGGCGGTCTGCTTTGAATAAGTAGATGACTTGTGGCGCTTTTTGTTTATAGTGAATAGAAGGTGCGATCAGGAAGTTTAGATATTTGTTTCGTAGGGTACAAAGAAAAGGCAGCACGGTGATGCGCGCGCAGATGTCGTTGAAAGCAGGGACCTTCATCATCTGTCATTATGCGAAAGGCGTCGTTCTGTGAACAATTGGAGCTACACTACACGAGTGTTTTTGTGACCACGTGCACGACCACATCGGCAACATTAGCATTCACAAAAACTATAGCAAAGATCGAACATTATTTGCGCGTCGAGCTCAGAAAACATGGATCAGAAAAGTGGAAATAAGTTGGCAGGCTCGTGGTGGAATAAGCGATGAGTTGCCCGAGGGGCTTTGAGTAGCACTCGCGCTTAAAGAATGAAAAACACATCACTGGAAAAACATCACAAGACATCCAGTGATGCTCTGTCAATCTTGAAGAGGGAGGATCATTCAAAGCACCTCGTACATGTCAGTTGTTTTTTGTTGTTGTTGTTGTTGTTTTTTGCATCAGTTTGCCGATTGATTTTAACGCCTGTTATAAATTTGACGAGTTTGACACGGAATTACTAGTCGCTCTTCGCTCAAGTTGCTGTCTATGATGAAATCGTCGATGTGCTCGTAAATCATGTTCAGAAATACTCGAATAAACAGCTCCAAGTGATCAAAGAACGACGGACTGTAGCATAGTGTCTGATGAAGTACCCTGCTTTCGACAGCTGCACTCGAGTCCGCACCACCTTCATAATATCTGACCAATGAAAATAGTTAATTTCGTGGCGATTCAGAACGTAACTAATATTGTTTTTATTAGGCGTGTTGTGCAATATATTTTGATAGAAACGTCAAATATTTGAGTATATGAGACGTAATACAGCAATTATTGTTTAAAAATGCAAGAAAACGCTTTCAGAAGCCACACCCTGGTGTCTTCTACAAGACGCAGGAAGAGGGGAGCGTGATCTCTGATTAGATTTTTAATAGGAAACTCGGCCGCCAATGAGTGTAACTTCGGGGTTATTAGGGTGTTCAGACCCATTGAATTGAGTTATCACCTTAAAGAGACCTTCAAGAATCCACTTGAGCGCCTCTTTAAACCTTATATTTTTACTCAGACAAGATGAACACTCACCACGAGTTTATCACGTGTCATGACGTCGTAATAAGTGAACCCGGCGGCAGTCTTCAAACTACCACCAGGTGCGCTTGGGTTGCAGAAGTAGTTCTGGAAGAGGTCGCAAGTCCTGTTGCCGTAGTTGAAGGCTTTGCACTTTGGGGACCGTAACAGGCACGCTGCCAGGCATTGAATGGGTCCTTCCAAGGACACGAGAACTTCCAGGGGCTCGATGTCTAGTATTAGGTTCCTTCGGGATTTTGACGATGCGAAAACGCTGCGGCCAACTTCCTGTCGTGCTGGCCTTTCCGGGCGAGATCGGATGACCCTTGAAGGTGCTCTGGTTACAATGCCCAACGTCGTTGGCCTTAATGTTGTTGGGTTGCCAGCTGCGAGCCAATAACTGCTGGCGCAACAAGCGACAGCGCTCAGCAGCAACGAACTCGCCGCAACTCGTTCTACGCTATTCATCTTCCTGACAAAAAAAGAGAAAGAGAGAGAGAGAGAGAGAGAGATAATAAATACACCAGAATCACTATACATAACCAAAGCCATTCATGTGTAAGCAAGTCGGGCCAAGGTTATCTTTAAACGCGCAACCTTGGCATAGACGTCCATACTTTTACGGCACCAAAAAAGTTCAATATAACAAAATAATTGCAAGGCTAGAGCTTCCACTTTTGTCTGGGTTAAACGTTTTGATATTATTGGTTTTTAAAAGCGCAGATTTTTGTTTATATAATAAAGAAATCACTTAGTTCAGTTTGGTTCATTTAACTTCATTTGATTTGACAGGCAAATCCCAAAATTATTCTCACCACCCCCATCCAAAATCGCTATGTTCTGACAAACACAATTCAATCTTTATTCTACTACGAAGTCCAAGCTCCATATGTTTATGCAGAATGCGGCACGTTTGGTGCCGCACCTTGCATTATTTTACGCTGAGAGTGACCAATATAGGAACATTTGTCTGTGCAACGAGCCAGCATTTAGATTATTTATGACCCAATAGAAACTGACACGAAACAATATCTTAGAATACATGGACGCTTACAAACAACAAAAAGCGCATCAGTGCATTAATATATTTTTTTTTATTCCTAAAAGAAAGTAAAAAGTGAAAGACTAAAAAGTATTCATTTCCTCAAGTGAGCCAGAATTAACAAGCAGTCAGGCAATCTTGCGTCGGTGATGAGAAGCGCCTAGTGTTCATCGTACGCAGGGGATAGGGTTTACAATGTGCAAGTCATATTCTGTAGTCCGAACATTGTTAGAGACAGGCACGTAGCCAGGATTTTGTTTCGGGGGGGGGGGGGGGGGGGAGGGGGGAGGGGGGGAGGGGGAGGGCCTGCCCATGACAAAATGTTGTATGAGGGGGGGGGGAAAGGAGGCCCCAGCAAAATTAAAGATTTCGGGGGGGGGGGGGGGGGGGGGGGTTTGAGCCCCATGGGCCACCCCGCTGGCTACGTGCCTTGTTAGAGATTGGTGTTTTTCATCATCGCGGTGATATGTGACACGAGAACAAAGCGGAATGTCTGCCGAGGCACTTGGTTGTAACCGAGCCCAAGCTGCGTGTGCTCACGCAGTTAACGCGTCCAGTCCTCGACCCCTCCCCCCACCCCCCTCGACCATTATCACCCTCGCATTAACATCGTGACCAAGCCAACATTGTCATCCCCACAACTACGTCGTCGAGCTTCGCAAGAAAAAAAAAAAAATAGCCGAAATAACAATTCTGGTTTAATCCGCAGAATCCTTTCCCAAGAAACAATCTTGCGAGTCGCTGGAACACCCTCAAACCCAATAATTCCTGCCCGGCCTCATTAGTCCACCCATTCGAATAAGCGACATTAAGTTTCTTTCAAATGTAATTTGGGCACTTAACAAACGCAGGATTATTATTCCTTCGCGTCTTGTTTCGTGATTGGCTCTTCGTCGTTTTACCAGCTAATGCAGCAATCCCATTGGCTACCGAGTGGTAGTAAGATACTCGATACTCTCTCCATCGCCCCTTTTCTAAGTTGCCGGTGACTTCATAATACATTTCGCTCTAAGTCTGACCGCAGCTGACGCTATAACCCGATAAAGCCGATTGTTGAAACAAAAGAAGAAGAAATCGTGAGAGTGATGAAGACGTTGAAGAGGATCGCCAACTGTAGTTTGTTGCGACGTAAGATCAGCAACAGATGCTCCGCCTCCGTCGCGAGCATTCTAGCTGTCATACCTCTTCGGCGCACGCGTTGTCAAACACGCCGAAGGGCAAAGGGTCGCGTGCTAGAGGCGAGGCGTCTACTGCTGACCTTGTGATGCAACAGAGTATAGCCCTTGTGCGTTATCTTTGACCTACACGCCATAATAAACGACCTTTTCTTCTACACCGTCGGGCGCATAAAACTATAGTTTCTCAATATTTATTCCCGAAACCCGGGACAAAGAACTCGTTAGCAGATACCCATTGGAATCCTCGACTACAAACCGGGTCAAGTACGGCGTGATTCCTTGGAAGAGTATGAAACGTGTAATGTCCAAGCGCAAAGTCTTTTAAACTGAGGCGACCGAGGTAATGAACGACGCTGAGAATGCGTGCCAGCAAGGTTATCAAGCTTCGAGGAGCGAACTCAACAGCATTATGGAAGCACTTTAAGACATCCAAAACAAAATATTTTCTGGCACGAATCGCGAGCTGAACGACCTCCTATCGCTAGCCAAGCTCGAAGTGGAAATCACTACTGCATGTGACTACGACAATCATCTTGTGACAGCATCACCAGAATAAAGATGGCTCCACCCGAAAAAACACCGGCCGCTGCTTTTCTGGTAACAGACCCGTTTTGAGAATTCTAAAATATGCTACGCGTAGATTATGTGCAGCCGCCATTAGTTGGTCATGTAGAGTGAGCAGGTATTGGACACGAGCGCTTTGTCAGCATTCGGACTGTGCTCAGATTGAAATTCATTCGGCACGAGTTCTACGTCAGTGTTTGACGCGAACTCGGAACCAATCACGGGCTTCACGTCGGAAGCGATCAGTGGCTGCGCATAATCTATGCATTATTCCACAATTTTGGAAAGGACCTATTCTAACAGCACTCCACGGATTAAGAAAAAATACTTAATCTAGGGAATTACACAAGGTGTAAAACCGCGTCTACCAAATCTGGAACTGTCATATTTTGATGACTTTAGGAACAACTGGGCCCGTTTGCTCGAAGTGCTAACCGTGGCTAAAGTTAGCCGCAGTCCCTAGGAGAGGAATTTTGAAATCACGTGACTGACTCGGTAGGGATGCGGGGAAACATGCGGTGGCCCCGGTGAGTGAGCGCCGCTCGCTTTAAGACTGATATGTCGTCGTAGCTGCAATATCAGGCGCGTTAGACAGCAATGTATAATGCATGAGGCTTTCGCTTTGCCTTACCTCACTCAAATCGCGAAGGATGAGCAATGACATCGCCGCATTTTCAGGCAGTCTTGATTCTGGCCATTCCTAAGCCTAAATGAACGCGATAATTGTCGCCATGACGACGTCTTTGGAAAGTGGATTGCCTTGACTCACTCCGCCGGTATTGATAGCACACAAAAGCAGACAGCGTCCCAAGAAACCTTTTGCTAAATTTCACAAGCACCGAGGTAGTTACACGCGTTGCACGTGCTGGCGTGTGCAGTAGTAATTGTTCTAAAGCGAAAAGTCTAAAACAATTTTTTTCTTGCACGCGTTCCTCAAAGCCTTATTATGATTATTTACTTCGAATATTTTATAAGACGAAGGCCAGCGCGCGCGGACCGCAGAGTTATACTTCCAGCGTTCTCCTCGATGCCTGGGTAACAGAAAAAAGTATATTCGGATGCCTTTTGTGTGCTATCAATCAGACTTGGACGTAGTTTAACTACTCTACTCAAACTATTGTAGTTTAACTACTTTTCCGAGTAACTTGGTAACTTTCAATTACAACTTTATTTGGGTAATTAGTAGTTTTATTTAACTACGTTTTTCCGGTGACTTCTACTCAAACTACTAACTACTTTCGGAATCTAGTGCTAATTTTGCTCATCACGAAAGTTTGAGCGCAGAAATAAATAAGACGCCCGCAGATAAAGTGTGCATTCCCGAACAAGGGGCCCCCTGACATTCCGTTAATACAGACGTAGAAACTTCATCACAGGCGTCTTTGAGCCAAGGTGCCGACGAGCAGCCAAAACATAACGCCGGCGCGCATGAACGCAGGAGGTGGGCCTTGGTCAGGTATTGACCTAATCCGGAAATGGACGCAGGCGCCGCGTCTCTAGCTGCAGCCTTGAAAGACGGGTACACTCCGAGGGTTGTTGTTTTCATGTTGTCTGCCTTTAGTGAGTTCTGACTCAAGCGGTTTGGGGGTTCCTAGGGAGGCCCCACTGGAATGACCTCGCAGCTGGGCGCCTGCTCCCATGATCGCCTCGTCGTCAGCGCATACGCCTTTTCAAAGCCGGACTCCCCCGCGCACAAACGCAGACACGGATAATCCGTTCATGGGAGCACGTTCTTGCTTCCAGCTGCAACTGTACGAGCGACGATGCTTGTTCACGTAATCATTCGCGTCCTACCGACCATCCACGCCAGGGAGACCTCCTCTTTGTTTAAAACGATTTGCTTGTCAGGCGTGTCAGGCACGTCAGGATACCGTAGTCGCCGGCGAGGATTGCGACTCACCCTTGGGAGGGCAGTATCCGCCCCGTTGGAGCTGGCGTCAGCGATGAGTATACTTCGTTTCATCTTCTGTTAAACCAAAAAAATCGTGTTTTTTTTTTGTTTTTTTTTTTGTATCGTAGCATTAGCACTGCAACGAGACGCGCATTCGTCCAGATGATCTCATCGTCGCGGCGCGCGACTTGAACCCTTGACGGTCAGGTGCACGTACTCGCTCAGCGTACTCTCTGAACGTCGTGGGAATAAAGAGGGGCCAGTCATAACAATCTCAACTTGCCGAAGAAAAAAAAAAAAAAAGGAGGAAAGTTTGTTACAAAAGACCCCCTTGGGCCGAGGCACACCTCAAATGCTTACCCTATCCCGCACAGCCTGTTTCTCAAATTCAACGCTGCCGTTCCATCCAGCGCGTCGGTGGAACACCTTTTTTGCTTGGCTGGGGACGCCTTCAGGAGGGAAAGGGGAACACTCTTTTATCAAGAACTTTGAAAGTCAATTTCTTTTGCGAGCGGATAAACTATTTTCGTGAAAATGCAAGTCATAAAATGACTGCATCTATTTTAGGCTCGCAGGATTTTTCACGCATCAAAACTTCTGTTTATTTTGCTACCACAAAAATATAAAAAAGTAACTTCGAAAGTAACTTCAAAGTAACTCGCTACTTTTTACAGTAGTTAGTAGTTTACTCCATTACTATTACAAATGCGTAATTTCTACTCTACTCCAATTACCGTTGATACTCAGTAACTTAACTTAATTACCTTCTTTGAGTAATTTGTACATGTCTGCT